AATAATAGAATCTTAGAGGAAGGGAAACTTTACAGGTCATGTAGTCCAACTCCCCTGCAATAAGCAGGGACCTCTTCAGCTAGATCAGGTTACTCAGAGCCCTGTCCAACTTGACCTTGAATGTTTCTGGGGATGAGGCATCTACAACCTCTCTGGGCAACCTGTTCCAGTGTCTCACCACCCCCGTTGTCTTCCTTACACCTAGTGTGAATCTGCTCGCTTTTAGTTTCAAACCATTACGCCTTGCCCTGTTGCTACAGGCCCTACTAAAAAGCCTGTCCCCATCTTTCTTAGAATCCCCCTTTAAGCATTGAAAGTCTGCAATAAGGTCTTGCCAGAGCCTTCTCTTCTCCAGGATGCAAACCCAACTCTCTCAGCCTTTCCTTATAGGAGGTGTTCCATCTCTCTGATCAGTTTTGTGGCCTCCTCTGGACCTGCTCCAACAAGCTCATGTCTGTCTTGTACTGCAGACCCCAGAGCTGAACACAGTACTGCAGGTGGGGTCTCACCAGAGTAGAGAAGAGGGGGAAAGCCACCTCTCTTGACCCCTGGCCACAATTCTTTTGATGTAGCCCAGGATACGGATGCCTTTCTGGACTGCAAACACACGTCCCTCAGCCTGTATTGATACCAAAGGTTTCCCTGGCCCAAGTGCAGGACCTTGAATTTAGCCTTGTTGAACCTCATGGACTTCACATGGCCCCATACCTCAAGTCTGTCCAGGTCCCTCTAAATGGCATCCCATCCCTCAGATGTGTCAACTGCACTACTCAGCTTGGTGTTGTCTGAAAACCTGCTGAGGATGCACTCAATCCTGCTGACTCATTGATGAAGTTATTAAATAGTAGTGGTCCCAATATGGACCTCTGAGGGGCACGACTTGTTACTGATCTCCATCCAGACACTGAGCTGCTGACCGCTACCCTCTGCGTGTAACTGTCCAGCCAGTTCCTTATGCACCGAACAGTTCGCCCATCAAATTAATCTCCCTCCAATTTAGAAAGAAGGATGTTGTTGGGGACCATGTCAAAGGCCTTACAGAAGTCCAGACAGATGACATCAGTAGCTCTTCCCTTCTCCACTCATGTAGTCACTCCATCATAGAAGGCTACTAGGTTGATCGGGCAAGAATTGCTCTTGATAAAGCCATACTGGCTGTCTTGAATCTCCTCCCTGTCCTCCATGTACATTAACATAATATCTAGGAGTATCTGTTCTGCGGTCTTCCCAGACATAGAGGTGAGGCTGACAGGTCAGTAGTTCCCAGGGTCCTCTTTTCTACTTTTTTTAAAAATGGGTGCAATGTGTCCCTTTTTCCAGTCACTGGAGACTTCGTCTAACTGCCATGACTCTTCAAATATCATGGAGAGTGGCTTGGCAACTACATCAGTCAATTCCCTCAGGACTCTGGGATGCATCTTGTCAGGTCCCATAGACTTATCTATGGTCAGGTTCCTTAGGTGGTCTCAAATGTAATCTTCTCTTACAGTGCCCCAGTCCTTGCCTTGAGATCCATCCACTCAAGAGGTGTGAGAAGAGAAGTTGCTAGTGAAGACAGAGGCAAAAAAATTGTTGAGTACCTCAGCCTTCTCTTTGTCTGTTGTTACCAGTTTGCCAGTTGTGTTCCTTATGGGGGGTATACTTTGTTTGACCTTCCATTTCTGCCATATCTATAGAAGCCTTTCTTACTATTCTTTGTGTCCTTTGCGAAGTTCAGCTCCAGTTGTGCCTTGGCCTTCCTGACCCTCATCCCTACCCAACCGAGCATCATCCCTGTGCGCTTCCTAGGATACCTGACTCTGCTTCCACAGCCTGTGCATTTCCTTCTTGCCCTTTAGTTTGACCAGCAGGTGTAGATGCACCATTATCCACAGTATCAGTTGATTGACCTTCCAAATCCAGAGCCTCATATCTGTTGTACAGCGGCACCTGGGAAGGCGAGGTAGGGGTAGGGCAAGAATGGGGTTCACCTGCCACCCTGAGTTTAGACTTGCCTCCATTCACTCCTTTCCTTTAAGTTACTGACTTCTGGCTAGTGTTAAGAGGATACAGGATTTCTTTGATCTTGTGTTTTTTCTAGTAGATATATCTGTCTGGGGATGGGAAGGGCATGGTTCCACTACCACCTTCAGCCTTTTTGGCAAGAATAGCTACAGTTTGGATACTGGTAGGACTGTGGACTTGTTTATATTCTTCTGCCATGAAAAGGCAAAGGGGAGGGAGGATGTGACAAAATGTGCAACCCTGTCATGTATTTTTCACAGTTTGTTCTGGAAGGTGGTTTTCACATCTGTAATGCGTAGCATCCTCATAGCACTGCATGGATGGCACAGAGACCTCTGTTTTTTCTCCAGAACTGCTGAACTTCAGCATCACTGTGATTTCTTTGAAGCCCAAGAGCTCTGGTCTGGAACTAGCTATCTGCCAAAGGATAAGAGGAAAGAGAAGACACTGAGGCTGCATTAGCAGCAATGAATGGTCTTGCTGCCTTTGGGAGACTTGATAGCTCCAGGAACCTCTGGAAGAGGATGAGAGGCCATTTTTGGAGCTGGGAGCCCCTCCTGTTGAACAGCAGATTCCTTTTTAACGATCTAACCCAGTGGATAGGTTTTGACCACGTGTCAAAAGAGAGATTTGGTTTCAATGAAAAGCAGAAGGGACCAGCACAAAGCACTGTATTTATACTTTGGGCCATGGATGTCACTGCCATTAAATCTTACCGCCTGTACTTTCAAGACCACAAATTTTGACTGTGAGCCGTAAGGCTTCTCCAGTTAACAGAAACAGATTAACTTGTAGATGCATCTGCAAAAGGAATGGTCTCCCCCACAGCTGCTGGGGAGGTTCCTGCTAGTGTCGGGGTCCTGGCATGTTAGTGTGGTCAGAGGCAGGGTTTGTGTCTTCCATGATCAGACCACCTTGTTGTACATGGCAAGGCTTCCTGTGAGGCCTGTGTAGGATTAGCTGGAGATTAGGGGCTGAAGCTGAGAGTCTGGGGCTGGCTGCTCTCCTAATCTGCTGTAAGCATTACTGCAGAGTGGCTGTGGGGGCTCCCATCTTGATGATGGGAGGTGGAAGAAGCCTTAAAGGCCCTTTACTCCCTTAATAAATTCACATGTGAGGCAGGAGTACTGCGTTAATCTTTGTGTAGCTGCACAGGCTCCTGATATGTGCTCCTTAAACCCCATAGAGAGCAAGTTACATTAACTGTGTACCTGCTGCCAAGTCTGGCTTCATCTTCCACTGGCAGCAGCAGTGGTAAGGCAAATACTGATACTCTTCTTTGGAGATAGAAAAGTATATTTTTTAAAGAAAATGTAATTGTTCTGCGTCTGCTATAAAAATATGTATTCTCAGAGTAATATTTGTGTCATTGCTGCTGTTTCTCAGTATTTAGAACAAATCAGGCCCCAAACATCAGGAAATTTAAAACAAACAAAACCTTATTCTCTATTTGCCTTGTGAGGATACAGGTGGGATCGTGTATCAAGGGTGGGGGTTTTGCCACTGTAAAAGTTAGATACTTCACTCATAGTGAAAGCCAAACCAAATATGAAACTTCCAACCATAAGTGTAACTCTAGCGCAGGGGAGTTGGGAACATTAGTATGAGCGTGGCTGGGCTGTAATGAGAACAAGTTGTTAGTTATGATGTGAAGATGGAGTGATGGAGAAAGATCTTGTATGTGCACCCCCTGTGTTGGCCGCAGCTGGGCGTCCTACCCTGCCACATCCAGTGAGTCACTAATGTCCACAGGAGGTTTTGGGGTCTTTGCGGAGAGGTGCAGGTTCAAGGAAGCCCTTAAAAGCCCAAGAAAGGAATTTTCCTCAGCTGTCTTGACCACCTCTCACAGTGCCTGTGGGAGAAGGGAGAAGACAGGTTGTCTTTTTCAGTCTGTCCCAGCTCTCAGAGCTCAGCACAGACAGCTGAAGTCAGACCTGCCTATGATTTCCTCCTGACTGCTTCCCCACAGGTTGCCTGCTGTTCTGGTTGCTCTCGAGTGGTCTGCCTGATGTCCCTGGCAGAATCAAAAAGCTGTATAAGAACAGCCAGCATGCTGAATATCCTGAAGAGAGCCAGAGGTCATTTAACCAAGGTTGTCTGTGTTCTCCTTGCTGGTTACTCTGAGGAAGTCTGGATTTTTGGCCTGGTGCTGTCTCAGCAATGTGTGTTCTTGCAAGGCGCCAGTGGGGAAAAAAAATGCTGCAGAAGAGCAAGGATTGTGTTCCCACAAACCATTATACTCTCCTTAGGCTTGCAAGGCTACTTGCCATGTGCACAGTGGTTTGTACCTTGCCATCTTGCTGCATGGACAGTGAGTAAGTGAATTATGAGCAGCAGACCTCTGTTCACCCAGAGGAGTACTGAAGTGTCACAGCTCTTTGTCAGTACCCATTATTGTACTGTGCTTTCAGGGCTGGGGGCGGACAGGGCATGTTACACACTATGTGGATTTTTGTATTGCCTTCCTTGAGATTGCTCGCTACTGACTGGCATCCATTACAAGAAGTACTTGGAAGGATGCTTCCAAAAGCCAAAATGAGTGGAGAATATGGTTGGACCACATCCAGAACTGTTTTATGACAGCTTATTGCAACTACTTCTGTTCATGCAGTTCTCTGGCATCAGTGAGTGGAGACCTGGTGATTCTGACTACTGCTTCTGCTGCTAAATAATTGATGGTAGTGAACACTTTAAAACAAAGACGTAATTTAAAAAACACCAGTTAAACTTTGCCTATCAGAAAAACTCAGTTTGATGGATTATTATTTTCTCTATAACAGTGTGAGAAAAATTGAAGTATTCTCCTTGAAAGTTGGTTTTGTTTTTTTTCTCCTGCCTGTCAAATCTGGGATAGCTGGCTGAATACTCTTCCATTCGGTGCCTTCTTCACAGCTTCCTCCCCTCATACACCAGGCTGCCACCAACTTTCCATTTCACTTTGGAGCGGACAAAACCCAAATAATTTGAGATCAGATCTGTGTTTTCTTTGTTTGCAGCAGGGGTGGAATATATGAACAGGCTCTGTGCTGCTGCAGTGCCTGAAAGGGAGTCTGTGGAAAAGGAAGCTGAAGGGGGAGCAGCAGTTCTCACTGCTGTGGCAGAGGTGCATGATGTAAGTGAAGGCTGGAAGTTCTCCTTCTGTCCTTAGTTCCTCCAGACGGGTGACAATGCACTTCATGACACTGCTCTCTGTTGTACCACCCTGTGGCTGCATTCTCTGAGGTTTGCCAAGGCCCCCATCTTCAAGTCAGTGTTGTTCCTGAACAGCCAGAATCACCCACCCAGGTTTCCTCTGAGACATCCAGCAATGGCTGTCTGGATGGGTTAGTTCGCCGTGCAAATACCTAGCAAGTCTTGGTTTCCTCTGACAGAGTTAAAGGATCTTTGTGTATTAGGATCCTAGCCCACTCAAGCTGCTTAGTGACGTGCTTGAGAGCTTGGCTCAAAAATAGTTGCAAAAGGGCAGATGGGAGAAGGACTCAGGTCAGAGCTTTCATAGGACATCTTTGAAGCAAGGAGGAGGTGCCAACTGCACATGCATGATGGGTCTGTGCAAAAGGCTGGGTAATCCTGGCCCACTCAGCACAAGTGCAGGTGCCTGGGTGCCCTGGGGACACCATGAGAAAGAAGGCTACTACGTTATGTTTTGCACTATCATAGGGAAATATATGCTAAAACTGCTGCTTCTAAAATGCCTATTGTCTGACTCAAGCATTCTGGTTTACTGAAAGGACAATGTGGGATTTTTTTCCCTTTTAGTATTCCATCTGTGTTTTTTTCAGCATTTATGTTTGTTCTTCAGACTTTTCCTCCTTGTCCTGCAGGTTGAGTCTTTCTTCAGGAATTCTGTTTTGTGAAGCACAGCAGAAGCATAGGAAGGAAAGGCTGTCCTTTCTGCAAAGAAGTGAAAGATACTGGGCAAAGGTAGAAACTGCAGCAGCACACGAACATAATGAGAAACCACCAGAGGACAGTTGATATCAGTGCATCAGTAGCTGAAGCAGGTGACTTCTGGGCATCCAGTGAGCCTCTTGGGAGGAAGGACCAGCTGCAAGCAGGACTTTCCCTGTGGCTCAAAGGGGAATATTAGAGCATTTGAAGGGATGTAGGAAAGCCAAAGCACTTTATGCTACTGAGAAGAGAGATTAAGTCAGTCAGATGGTTGCAGTCACACTGTTGCATGAGTGTTAAGGTATCTAAGGAGCTGACTGTCAGAAACAGTGAAATACAGAAGCTGAAAGGGAACATAGACGATGACTGCTCAGGCCTTGGTTTGACATGTCCTACGTGTGTCTCAGGCTGCAGAACTGCTGTTTCTACTTGTTCTGTGGTTGTTTCCCAGTCATCATCTGGAAAGGGAGTAGATTTCTCATCCTACAAGCTCTAGTTTCCTTCAAAAACCACTGCTTGATTGCAAGGGTACATGGTTTTGGTTCAGAGATGCTGCTCAGAGGCAGATATAGGAGCAGATATAGTTTTGAATTGTGTTGCATAAGAAAGAGCAGCCAAGAGAATCCTCAGTGAAAAAACTCCAGAAGGGTAGAATTTTATGGCCCTCTTTTCTGTCCATTGCTGCACAAGCTTGTAGTGAAATGGACCAGAATGAATTCCTAGGAGGGAAAGAGATACCAACAAGTGTTGGTCCTGTCCTCTCACCCTTGTTAGAAAAGATGAGTTAGAGGGAGTGTTCTAAGTTGAGAGGGTGCTGAGGGGAAGAAGTCCGGTTTGTGACGAGACAAAATGTTTTGTGCCTCACTTCTGTCAGCTTCCAACCATTTCTTATATTTTGTTATTTTGAAGTTAACTTACTAATATTTCTGCTACAGCAGAGCTCCTGATATGGACCAGCAGCCCACTGTCCTGTGCACTGCCCCAGCATAAAAGACAATGTCCCTGATGTGCAGAACTTACTGTCTGAGCAGAAGACACGAGGGAGGAGCTCAGGACATACAAATCTTGCAAGCTGACCAGAAGACACAGTGTGAAAGGTGGATATAATAATTCTGTTTCCTTGCTGAAATACAATTGAAATGCAAAGAGTTTATGTTCTTTATGACTTCTTATAGATGCAGACATATTTTCTGTTTCATTTTGTGTTTGGTTCAGTTGCAGCCCACAATTCATTCTTTCTAGTGTTTGAATGAGTAATGAAAACCATATGTGACTACAGGATTTCTGTGTCTTGGAACGCACAATGTTAAAGTGGCAAATTGTCTGGTTTGATAGAGGAATTGTGGACTGGCAGGTTCAGTTTGGGGTCTGGAAGCTGACCTACCCTTTGCATCTTCAAAAAAAAAAAAGGAATGTTTTTAGGTTCAATTAAAGTCACAATGAACTAACCAAATCTGAGCCAAACCCTTCTAATGCCTCAGTTCATCAGTTCAGTAGGACTAAAAAGATCCTGTCAATGTCAGAGGGTACACACACAAGGAGCAGGTTGGGTGAGTGACCATTTTCATATTTTTGAACTAGATCTTGTAAATGGACGATCCTGGATAAGTCACTGTACTGATTTCTGGAACCACATATGTTCACAGAGCTCCAGGACTAATAGCCATTAGTACACTGGACCAGTTTTATCAGAAACAAATTTGAGCTTATGAACTTGGTTTAGAGACTGTTTCTGCTAATGCAAACAGCGTTGTGCAGGAACTTGCACTGGCCACTCAGTTTCTTGCTTCGTTACTGCTCTTTGTATAATTACTGTGACTGTATTAATCTGAGAGGAAATCTGTCGCACTGAGGGAATACACCAGCTCTTTGTCTCCTCAAGTCATCCAGGAGTTGGCCATAAACCTTACTGTCATGCCCTGAAGTGTTTGGCCCTCTGAGGCTGAAGGCTGTGTACTTTTCCCTGAGATGATGTTCAGTGGAAGAAGTGTGTCTAGTTTGAATCAGTGTACAGGTGGATGTTAACAAATATATCATTCAGAGATTCCAGACTAAAATAGAGAAGGGCTTTCCTATGAATTGGCATGGCAGTTTTCTCTTGTTGAGAAAACAGATCACTGGATCCAGAAACCATGAAAAGGGAATGCAGAGGTTACTGTGTCATTCTCTGCCATGAGTGGCAAATGCACTATGACCACCAACACGGACTAACCAGAAGCACAAGGCAAGGGAGGCTGGATGGGCAGGAAGAATCAGTGTTACAGATGTTAACATCCTCTGTTAAAGCATGTGGTCTTCCCAAGGTGCCAGTGAATCTCTTTATTACAAGAGTTGTGAACTGGTGTTAGTAACTCTGAACCGTGTCTAGAAGATTCCCTCAGTCTTTCATCATTCAGTTTTCCTGTGATTTCTGTCACTCTCAGGTAAATGGAAGATTTGGAGGCTAACTTAATCCAGACACGCAAAGCATGTAAAATAGAGCAGATGGTAGCAAAATGGCTTCATCGTTCTCGAGATGGTGCATCCAGGTAAACATGTTTTCTGTGAAAGGAATGTCTGTTGATCACATTTTATCAGAGACAGCACAAGCTTGTTTCCAACAGGCAGGGGCAGTCACAGGTTGCAGATCTTACTGTTCTGGTTGTTGGAAAATATGCATAGAGTAGTTGCTAGGAAAAAATCCAGTGTTTTTAAGCATCCCCCACTTTGTCTCCAGGAATGGATGTTCCTGCTTTCACCCATTATGGTTTTGAGCCACATCTGCAGAAATACAATACTGCTCAATGCAAAAAGTGCATTTCTTGAAGATGGGGTTGTACTTCTTTTTGTGTCTTGCCATTGGCCCATGTTTTTAGGGCAAGGCTGAGTTGCATGTACAAGGGATCTTGGCCCACAGCTGCTTTACTTTCTTAAGGTCTGTGAATCAAAATTAAGCTGGACTGGATCCTGGCAGAAGCAGGGAACTGTAAATTCTCTCACTGCCTTGCTGGGTAAAGGTGTTGCTGTGGTCTGTGGAGGTCAGGGCTTGCTGTGGGGCAAACCTGGAGTTCTCCTTCCGTGTGACCACTGGGCTGGTGTGGCTGAAAGGGTTGTGGTTACAACCAGCTGGTGCCCCTGGTCTGATGTCTTCAGCTTTCTGTGGAGCCTGGAGGGATCACCACTGGCCTGCAGAGTGCTCAGCCACCTGTGGGTACCCAGAGAGGCGCTGGCCGCTCTGTGTACTGGTGCAGTCTACTGAAAGTGAGGGTGTATGTATGTGTGTGAATCTATACCCCTTCGATAAAGTATCTTCTGACTGTATCTTAATCACCATCTTGTCTCACAGGGGCAGAGTGTCTGTGACAGACAGTACCAGTGATGGCAGTGGCCAGCCTGCCAGCCGTGTCAAACTTACTGTCACGGTATACAAAGACTTGGTCCTCCACCACTATGGCTTTGAGATTTGTCCAGACCTTCCTCTTAGGATTGCATCTGTCACTGCAGGTAAGTGCTGTTTCCTTCTCCCTGCAGTTACAGGTGTGAGAAGCCTGAACTGTCCCAGATGGCCTTAGCGATAAACTCCTGCCAGGTATTTATGAGTTTCTCAGGCACCTCTGGTTGGCATGTGATCCTTGAATACTGAGGACAAGAGCCTATGTGCCTGTGGTGTGCAGAGCACTTGAACATCTACCTGGTTGTGGTGGCACGAAAGAAATTTAAGCCAATAACAGGTTCACTGCTAATCCTTTGCTTTCACAGCTGTCCTTTAGGGATGCAAAGAGCTGCTTCAAAGCAAAGTTCTTTCTGGTGTTTTATCTGAAATGCGAAGGAAAAATTTCATCTAACCTTAGAGTTCTTATCCTGCATTGGCCCTGGGGATCTGTTGTTGAAAATGCTTTCTAGGCTTATAGCCCTGTAATGTGAAGAGGATCACTGCTAGTTACAAGGCAGCCCTTGTAACAGATCAACTCTTCCTGTTATAAAACAGAGGGATATAACTACTTTTAAGGTGATACCGTGGTTTGAGCTCAGAGTGCAACTGTGCACCACACAGCTGCTCACTCCTCCCTTCCCCCCCCCCCCCCCCCCCCCAGCGCTAAGAAGGAGAAAATAAGGAATGGCTTGGGATTCAAGATAGGTCAGGGAAGGATAATAATTGTCACGGGCAAAAGGCTGACTCATTAGGGGTAGAAAAAAAGAACATAAATTTACTACAGATACTAACAACACCACTTAACAGACAGAGTAGGACAATAAGAAGCATTGCCACATCTTAAGAACACTTCCCCCCCACCCCTCCCTTCTTCCCAGGCTCAGCTTTGCTCCTGGTATGTCTACCTCCTCCCCTCAGCAGTGCAGGAGCAGGAATGGGGAGTGCAGTCAGTGCTGCCGCTTCTTCTATCTTCGATGGGGGAGAACTGGAACTTCTTCCCCCTGTTCCATCATGGTTCCCCTCTCACAGGAGAGAGTCCTCCACAACTTTTCTCCAATTTGAGTCCCTCCCACAGGCTGCAGCCCTTCCCTAGCTGCTCCAGTGTGAGACACCCCAGCATGCTGCAGTCCTCCCAGCGCTGAACTACAACAGTGGGGGCTGCTTCTTCCCACAGAATCCTGGCTGTCTTCAGGCACAGACACCTTAATTTTTCGTGTGGCGCCCCTCACGGGCCATATATCAGAGTCTGCTCCACAGTAGACCTTCATGACTGGCAGTGGGTGCTGCCCTGCTATCTCACCAGAGGATACAGGGAGATCTCTGCTCTGGCAAACGTCCTCCCCACTTTCTGTTTCTCCACTGGCCTTGGTGTTCACACAGCTATTGCAACTTCTCCGCACAATTCCAACGCCTCCTCCCAGGTTCCTTCTTAAATACATTATTGCAGAGGTGCAGCTGATGCGCTTGGCCTTGGTGCAGAGGTGGGGATGACTTGGAGCTGTGGGAGCTTCAAGAAGCTTCTCACAGGGGGCCACCGCTGTAGCCCCCTCCCCTGCTACCAAAACCCCCACCATTCACTCAAACTGAGGACAGGTGGCTTGGAGATTTTGAGTCAGAAACTGTGAATCCATTTTTTTAATGGGTATACAAAAATGCTTGCTCTTTACCTGTTGGTGTGAGTGTGACAGCCAGAGAAAGACTATGCCTGAATGGGACAGGAAGGTGTTGTGGGGAGGGTGGCTGGAGGGCTGGCCAGAGCAATGCCTCTGGCTGCCCATGTGGGCTCTGGCATCCCCCATCTGCCTGGGGGAACAGCCTGTCCAAGTGCTTGCGGGATGTTTAGCATAAAAGCACTACAGTATGCTCTTTGTCCTTTCACAGTGCTTCTAAGTGAAATTTTCTTTTTATGCCCCTCCTGATGTGAAATGTGGCTAAATTAGCTGAGAGTTTGGGGGTCTAAGAAGCGAGGAAGGAGGTTTTCTGTTAGCGCTTTTCTTTTTTCCTGATCAGAAATAATCAACATTTTGTTAAAACTAAGGCACAAAGAAACCTGTCCTTTTAAGTCTTGACCTTTGCTGTGGGACCCCATGGCTAAAAGCCCTGTGTTTAATTCCAAATTATTGTCTTTGTGTTTTGCCTTTCATTTATGCCACTTGGCGCAGGGGTTTCCCTGAGGGAGTGGTGACAGGTGCTAGGTAGGTTTGTGGACAGAGCTGTCTGGCAGAGAAATTCAGTAGTGTGCCTCAGTGGTGGAGCTGGGGGCTGCATGCGTGTTCCTCCATCTCAGACCAGAGGTCCACCTGCTCCTGAGCCCCTTGGATCCTGTGGCTGCTACTCTCCAAGAAAATAAAGCTCAAAAACCATCTTTCTTCCTTGTCGTGGGTCCTCCCAGCAGACTGTGGCTGCGAAGGAGACCTCCTTTGTGCTCTCCCGGGTTAGAGAGGGGAGTCGCCATGCTGGGAATCCACCCCACATCTCCCCGGGGACTGCTGCAGCACCTTGGTCTGAACAGGGGCATGCTGAGAGCACTGAGCCCCAGCCTGTGTGCTGTGCGTGGTCAGCTGCAGGGTGTAACCCCCGGGTCAGGCCAGGGTGCGGACCCTGCAGAGAGAGACCGCAGTGCTTGGGCAGCTGCCCAGGCCTCACGGATGGGGAAAGGGCAAGGCAGGGCTGCTACCTGCCGGTCCTGCTGTGGTTTCCTGAGTGCCTGCGAGTCCTCCTGCTGCATCCTGGACAGGTCGTGCCTGAGGACTGTGTGGTGGGCTGTGGCAAGTGAAGAAGACGTGTGCAAGAGTGATTTTCTGTGGTGCTGGGGCAACTTGTGGGGCCAGAAGACAGCCTGGGTGAGGTGTCATGGACACACGGGCAGCAATACAACAGCTGGCATCAGGGCCCGGTGTCCTTTGGCCCCTTTTTATTTTGCCATACAGAGGCAGTTGCTGAGGCAAGTGGGTTCTGGGTGGGAAGAGCAGCGAGTGTCCCCAGTGGGAGGAGGTCTGCCAAGGTGGTGCTGTAGTGACTAACTGTGCTGGTCGCCCGCAGGGAGCACTGCTGATGGGAAGCTGCAGCCAGGTGACCAGCTCCTCCTGATCAACTCCACAGCGGTGGATGACATGTCTGTCGAACGAGCAGCTGACATCATCAGGTGTGGTCCCGCATGGCCCATGGGGACAAGGTAGCAGAGGGCTGAGAGGCGATGTGTGGGGACCAGGTCTCACCACGGGTTGCAGAGGCCTGCCCCATGGGAACAAGTCGGGCATGGGGCCAAAGGGCGCAGCAGCCCAGGAGAGCGGGGTTCCCCTGCTTCCCTCTGACATCTCAGTATGTGGTGGGCTGTGCCCTGCCTGGTCGAGAGCCTTCCCTCTTAGTGGGGTGGAGGGGCCAAAGGCCTCACCAGCACCATCTGCCACGACACTGGGAAGGAAGGCACAGGCAGCTGCTGACCCTGGCTGACTGCATGTCTCTGTTACAGGGAGGCCGGCGACGAGCTCCTCCTAACCGTCCTGCGCTGCACGTCGGTAAATGGCCTTTCTTCAGCACTCTCAGCATTCCCAACAGCACTTCCCCAAAGGGCTGTGGCCGGCAGTGTGGCTCGCAGGGAAGGTGGGGCAGTTGGGCTGGCACACAGGACGCAAGGGCCCGACCGAAGCCATGAGGGAGCTGCAGGGGTCCTCTGCTTTCACACATGCCCTTTCAGGAGGTTTTGGGGAGAGTCAGCAATAATTCCTCACAGCTCCCCTGGGTGCAGGACCAGGGTGGCTTGCAGGGCCTGTCATGTGGAGAGCGGTTTGAGCCCGTGATCCCTGAAGCTGGAGGCTTCATCAGGAGCCATGAGGGCCCAGCGGACTCCACAATGACTGGAATGCAGGCAGGTCTTCTGAGCAAGCTGTGGCTAGGTCACAAAGAGCAGCCTGCAATGCTCCCTACTTGCTGGGGTTGACTGGGCCGTGGGGACCCCCTGAACGTGAAAGGCAAGTGCTGTGGCTGCAGGCTCAGCATCTGCCCTAGGTGCTCCTTGGAAGCTCTTGTGGTTTTCCTTTCCAAGTGCTGGAAAAATTTATCCCTTTTTCTCCAGGTTCCATCTGGTTAAGGGCTGGGACCTGGGTGTGGATCATACTTTGGGAATAGAAGCGAGGTTTTAGTATGAAACTTTGGTGCTGATTGCCCGTTCTTGTAGCATAAAATTCCCCAGAAGGCATGTACTGCTGACATGCCGTGTTTATGCATGTGGATTTCAATGTGTGTAAAAGCTGAGCTGCAAAGCAAGGACAAAATTGGGTTTGTGTGCTTTTTGGCTTCTTGTGATGTATGAAAGTGGCCTGAGGGGGATTTTCCCCCCACACTGGAAAGCATTTTGGCAGTGTTTTTTGTTTATTTGGAGGTTTTCTTTATTTTTATTTATTCTGATTATAAACAAGAATGGCGGTTCCTTCAGAAGAGTTACTGGAACTCTCAGGCTTAAGATTACAAGGTTTCTTGACCATTCAGTAAAAGTACATTAAAGCGAAAATTGCTTAAATATATTTTTCCTGCTCAAAGTTCCCCAGGTGTTGACATTCAGTGGATGTGCACAAAGCCGAAGTAACAAGAAAAACTTTAAGTAAACCCACTGAACAGTGGCTGCCCTCTTTTTTTAATCTGATCTCCCTTGCCTAGTACATTGATTCTCAGTCTTGCCAGTGCTTGATCTGACCCTGGAGATCAAGGAAAGAGTGAGAGTTAGTTATGCAAGACTGGAATGCCTACCACAAAGGGGAAAATGCAATGGCTTTTCAGAGAGAAAAGGATTCGTAAAACCCTTCACGGGATTTGGAACACCCTTCACAGGCCTTCATGCATTGTTGAGAAGCAAATGGGGCACAAACCCATTTTTGTTTTTTCCTTTGCAGGTCACTTTAAGGATACCTCCAAATACAGCCAAGGCTGATCTTGGGTTTGGGGTTGGCTCTTGCCCCACTCTGAAGGCAGCTGTGCTTAGAGCTGAGAGGTAACGCCTCCCATCGATGGATACCAGACCCTCTTCTGGGGCTGCTCTGGCCACACTGGAAGGGATGTGGGAGGCCTTGGCCCTCCTAAGGGCAGCTGCAGGGCACGATGCTCCATACAGCCCAGCAGGCTCTGGAGGGCCTTGCTGGTTGGGCATAGAGACTCCTGCCTGTCTCCCTTCCTCTGTCCTTGCCAAATGGCCTTGGGATAAGATGGGACTGTGGCAGGTTGGGAGGCATCTCTGCCTCTGGCAAGCGTGTAGGAGTTTCTCTATCTTGAAGTTGTCTAGGAGGATACTAAAGGACACTGCCTCTGTTTTTCTCAGGGAACATGCTTTACAAGAGCAGGACGTTTGGGCAGAAGAACTCAGTGGTTCCTAGGCTTAGCTGGTGTCTTGTGAACTTGGTAGTCCCTTGTCATGGGAAAAGCATGGTTATGTGACAACAGTGCGATGAAGTAAAGTTGGCTTTTCTCAAACATTTGCAATATGAGAGTATGCTCTAGAAACGACAGCTTAGCTGGGAAGTGCTGCATACATGACTATTCTTGATACACTGACAGGAGATTTTGTCTATCTCGGGACACTCTGCATGTGTTGATTTCTGGTACTATGTAGCCCCACTGCAAGTCAGCTGTTGGTAGATTAACAGTTGTTCTACAGAATTCTGGCTTCATTGCAGGAGTTGGGGAGATGTTTAAACTCAGTAACTGCTTAACATGCAGTGAAATTAGGAGTGTGTACAGCATGTGTTGTACATGTGTCCACTTGCTGGACAGATGGGTTTGGGTTCAGAAGGCATCAACCACCTAGATAAGTTGAGAAGGCCTGTAGCAAGCCTGGAGGCTGAGAGGCTCCTAGCAGCGCCTGTTCCTGTAAGTGTGAGGCAGTGTGGTATGAGCAGCTTCAACCTGGGCTGTGGTCACACCCCTGCTTGTACTGTGGACCTCTGCCTCGTATGTAACTGCAACGAACTGAGCTGCCAACCAAGTGCTGTTATTTTTCCAGGGTGGGCCTAAGTCATCATTTCTCACTGCAGAGAAGAGGGCAAGGCTAAAAACAAACCCTGTGAAAGTACGGTTCGCCGAGGAAGTGCTGGTGAATGGACACACACAGGTCAGTGGGGCATGGCTGCAGCCAGTCACCGTGGGCACTGCGTGCTGGGAAGAAATGGGTCTGTCCTGTGGACAGATGCTGGGCTGAGTCAGTGTGGCCAGGAGCTTCAGAGTGGCTGCACCCTTGCTGTGCTAGTCTGCCCTGGTTATGCTTCCAAGTATCTGGCCCCAACTTGTTTCCTAGGCTCACTGGTGATTGGGGGGAAGTGCTGGCATCTCCAGAGGGTTTTATTGTTGATTTGCTTACTTAGACTAATGGAAAATACCTGCATGTACCGCTTTTGTCCTTTTAGCATCTGGTAAACTTTACACCAGCATTACACAGCTGTGGGAGGTAGCTGTCAACTCTTGAGGTGCTAATGTCTCCATAGTTAGCCTAGACTGAAGTTGAGGCATGAGAAATCCTAACCCTAAAGATGGGAGCTGAATCCTACTGTCCAGGCCAAGCTTATCTGCTGCCAGAGTAGCTGGGATATCTCTTCCTGGCCTTCAGCAGTGTTCCAGTAGCATTGCATTCAGAGAGTTTGGTACTAATGACTTTGCTTTTCTGTTAAATTTGACATGTGTTCTCTAGCTGATATGGTTACAGTTTTGTTGTGTTGCATATCCTTGCAGAGGGTTTCCGTAGAGCATTCACATGAGAGCCTCCATAACAGACCATCAGTGAGATAAGCCAATCTGTTCTTACATGAAACAAGATCACAGCTCATTGGAGGAATGTTGCAAATTTATCACAGGGTTTCTAACACTAATAACAATGAGCTGGGTAGATATGGGTCTGACTGCAGCAGAAGAGCAAACATTGAGAACACTTATAGCTTCTTCAAAGTGCAAGAAGCTCTTAAATATTTCCTTTTTCTTTCTGTGTGACTTGCTAAGCTCAGTGTGGTTGGGAGTGGACTGAGGTCATTTGGGAGTCTTTAACTCTGTTGAGTTTTCCTTTTTCCCTTTGGAACGAAAATTTACAGTGGTCAAAATCCCTCACTCCTGTCCCCTAGTCATTAGTGCTGTTCAATTGTTCAGGTCTGACCAAATTTTTATTCTTTGCACTTTGCAGTGATGATGAACCAGACACTAGGCCCTTTTCCTCTCTCCTAGGCTGTCTCTTGTTTCCCATCTTTGGCGGCAGAGAGCTCTCCTGACCCAGTTCAGGCAGAGCCTTCTCTGTGGCAGGTGTTCCCTCTTCTCACCTGCACCAGGGCAGAGGTGCAGCCAGAGATGCTATGGATGTCACCACATTATTAGACAGACACAGTGTGAGTGCCTTGGCACCTGTACCTGACTCCAGGCATGTCACGACTTCTCCTTCTCTGGCCTGCTCTCCAGAGCAGGATAGGGTCAGGTGTGACTCCCAACATGTTTTCCAGTAAGTCTCTCTAGACTCTGGGATCCTTTCCTTCCTACCAAATTGTTGCTGTATGTGCTGGAGCCACTGCAAGACTTGTCTCTGCTCTACCAAGGATGATGTTCATATCCCTCAGATCTTAATGACAGGTCGGTCTGGGATCTTGCCTGAGCATTACAGCAGCTGGGACACCCTTTCTGACATAGAAGCCAGGTAGTGGATCTCTCATGTGGTTAGATGTCAAACACAGGCCACAGAGCTCACAAGGCAGGGAGTAGGGAACAGGATGGATGTGCTAGGAAGTGGTCCCAGGCAGAGATCACTGAGAGACCTTGGGCAAGGCTGGTCATGACATAAAGCCAAACCTGAAAATGAGAGCAGTCTCTGTTTTTTTTACTGGCTAGAGGTTCGCACTAGTATCTGCTTGGGAGCTTCCATGGAGCTGTTTCAGCCAGAGGCTCGGCACTGGTGTTGCAGCATGTGGACGTCTCGTATCTGTGCCATTCACTTACTGATTGCAAGGCAGGTCTTAAGAGGTCTAGAGAAGTCACTTCCAGAGGGGACACTGTACTCCATGCTTCCTACAAAGCCTCTATCAATATTCTAGTAAGTTAATCATACCTTTACAAGTGCAGAGGAGGGACACAATCAATATATAGTTTGACATCCATTTAATGAGAACATAAAGGTAAGAGAAATTAATTTGGGTGTTGAGGTCCCGCTGGTGTTAGCTTCTCTTTTCACCAATTGAATATGAACCCTGTTTTGAACAATAAAACATTAGCACAAAGGAGGAGTAAATAAATTTGTTGCATATTTACGACTTCTTTCTGGGAAAGCACTATTTACTATAGACAACAGCTACTCTGCTTGAGCATTTTAGAACTCTCCTTTCAGTGGGCTGATGTATTAAGACAGACAAAATGGATGTTCTGGCTCTGAAAAACTGCAAAGCCTCCTGTTTCAGTAAATATACTACTCTTGTCATCTTAATGGAGCATTGCTAAATGATCTTTGTGGCAACTGGAAGGGACCCAGAGTCTGTCTTTTGCAGCTGAAACCTGAAACTCCAGTTTTTGAGCATAAATTGTTAATAAGCCTCAATGCTATCCGGCCTCCATTTTCTGTTGCAAACTTATTATGCATTTCCATATAACTGAATGATATGCAAGAGATGGGTCCCTCAGGATCCTCAGGTCAGCATCAGTTGGTGTATTATTAGAAGCTGTGGGCCTAGCTTTAACATGGAGTAAATCAACCTTGCACCAGATAAAACAGGAGGGGTACAGCTGCTTAAGCTGTAGCAGAAGCTTTCAGAATTAATTCATAGAGCCTGTACAAAAAGAGAGAAATCCCAACTGGGTGTTCTGGCCAGCTAATGGGATCTGACCAGGAGAGTGGTGATACTTAATTTGAATATGACTTTCTATCTAGATTTCAAGTTCTGATATGTGCTGGCTTTACAAGGCCCCATTCATATGATAACCTGTGGCTGCAGGAGCTACCAGAGAAAATGTGCAGTTGATGCAAACCAGCATCACTTTTCTGAAATTGATCAAGGACCCAAAGCTTGTCAAAGATGTGATGTGTTTGTGCTACTTAACATGAAGGAGTTATAGCTTGGGCTCAGGAGTAGTGTCAGTGTTCACTCTTTCTTCTCAGTGATGACTGTAGGCAGCTTGAACCCCACAAAACAGGGAGAGGAGGAGCTAGAAACAAGATTCATAAGTGTTTTATGTTTGTTCTGGTTGTATTTCCAGGGTATATGGGCTCTCTACAAAGAGGGACCAAGGTTATGAGATTTATAAGGTGTTGCACATCAAATGAAACATAGGGGAGACCATCGTAGAAATGCCATTCTCAACCTTGAGACTGTCATGACAAGTAGGTAAACTCTTTTAAGATTGGAGGAATGTGCTGGTCCAAGAACATAAGAAAGATAGGCTGAATGGGAAGTTCAGGGGTGGAGAAGTAAACCTCAGCACTGAACAACAAGAGTAAGGCTGAAAACAATAAGGAAGGTGCAAATGAGCTCTACTAAAGGAGTAAGGTGGAAGGCCAAAAGGTGCTGCTCTAGACAGCCCCAGATGGAGAAAGGCCAAGTTCCCAGATCCTTCTCAGAGCACTCAATGGAGGTGCTTTTGCTATAGGAGTCATTGCATTATCTAATGCATTTGAGACCTATCTCAAGAAACTCTGGTGACATCATCTCCTGTTTGGGAAGCCCCAGAGTAGCAAATCTTAGGGGAATGCTCAATAAAGGTACCACTGACTTCTTTAGTTGGTTTCAGGTTTAGCTGACTTCTACAACCTTCCAGTGGTGTGCAAGATCTATTCATGGTAGCATGGAGGGCTTGGTAGCTCTTGAGTGAAGTCATGGGTGCTGCCAGTGGGAAAGTGTCAGTGTGGGGATTAGTGCTGCCTGGTGCCCAGAAATGGGAAGATGTCTTTTCCGGCAGACATCGCTGCCTTTCTGGTAATGAGCGGGGAGAATGGCTCTCAGCTTTCAGTATCTGCAGATCTTCCTATGCCATGTGGGAACAGAACAGTGGACATATCTGGGGCCAAGTACAGCTATTGCGCTGGCTGGAGTTCTATGGTAAAGGCATTTGTTATGCTCTCTTTCTCTTGTTCCATGCCAGAAGCATAATCAGGAAATAAAGCTCGGTGCCACAGAAGAGGACTGCAAAAGCAGAGAAAGATTTTCATTTATACCAGGATGTGCTGTGTCAGGCAGAGCAACCTGGTGCCCAGAGGCTTTAATGTCCAAGGATTAGTGCTATTGCTTTTGTTCTGCAGGGGAATTCTCTTCTTTGTATGCCCAACGTTCTCAAGGTATACTTGGAAAATGGACAGACGAAGGCTTTCAGGTTTGAGAGAAGCACTACTGTAAAGGTAATGATGCTTGGTTCTCTGTTGCTACCACCCGAATTCAATTTGGTAGCAAAAGTGCATGAAACATCTTGGTTGTATTGGCCAGCTAGTGGGAAATGGATTGCTGGCTGATGCTGAGCATGCTGGATTTTTCCATGCCCTTCCTACAGAGAAGGCGTTGCTTTGATTCACCTCTGTTTTCTCAGCACCTGAGTTTCGCAGAACTTAAAGCAACTAGGCTATGAGACTACTAGAGCTTTGCGAAGTGTGGTTGAAGTTGGACAAGAGAACAGGTTGCTGGGGCACTGGCAGATCGACAGCTGTGCACACAAATGTTCTTTCCTTGGAAACCACATGACACAATACAGGGGTTGTTTAATATAGCAGTGACAATGTCATCTCTGAGAGGGAGAACAAGTCTCCTGGCTTGGGCCCTGGACAGGGGAGTCTGGGTTTGAATACATGTAACCTCAGTGAGTGCAGTTGTGCCTGTTGTTACTTAAAGTGCCTGTCCCTGTTCCAGCCTCATTTCTGCACTAGTGAAGAAGTTTCCCTGAGGCGACATGATAACTGATTAACCCCTTGAGATGGAAAAAACAGCACCACCTCCCTTGGATCACTTTTGCTTGTACACATTATAGACAAGTTACCATCATTCTTTTCAAGCTACAAGGTGCTGCTCTCCAGAGCCGCTAATCTATCATTTTCTGTAAGTGTTGTGTTTAGATGTAGTCTTACAAACTTGAAGGTTTCTAGCCCGATCTTTAGAGTTGCTCAGTGTTTTTGTTGGAGTTAAGAAGATTTGCCTGTGCAGGGTGACTGGAGGCCATAATATCTCTAAAGGATATATGATGTCCTACAGCAGTACTGTTACTGTGGAAAAGATGCATGATGGAGAGACATTCTGGAGTTGTAAGGCTGAAAGAATATTAAGGGGAAAAGCAAAGATATTTTATTTATAATGCACTGAAAACTTTCCTGAAAAAGAAAGTTTATTGTCTAGTTCATCCTAACTTCACAAAACTGTTATGGTCTCTCATGCAAGTAAGTCTCTACAAGTCTTGTGACTTGCAGGGCAGAGAAGAAGAAAATAATGAAATAAAGCAAGGAGGTAGTAAGGAAAGGGGAGATGAATTGCAAAGAGAGATTTGAATGCCCACCTGCAAGGGACTAATTTCTAAAAGATGGATTAGCTCTTTATGTTTGACTGGAGTTCCTCACCTCTGACCTAGAACAAATTTTTCCCTACTAGGCTTGAGTGCAACTCTCACCAGTGTCCTCACAGAAACACTCAGATGAGGAAGGTGCTTCATTAATTAGTTGTTTTCAAAAATTCCTCTGCTGTTTGAGAGATCCTTGCTTAAAACTGAGATGAGTCAAACATCTATGTTTACCTGAAGAAGCTCGAGTGAGTCAAAGGAGTTCTCTTTCAATTTGTATTCAGTCAAGCCTTATGTAGTGTTTTCTGTTTGCCAAAAACAAACCTAGTTATTTCCATGACAGTATTCCAATAGAATTCTCTATACAACTGAAACACCAGTTTCAGTCAAATTTAGTAAGATTTTTACAGTTATGCTCTGAAATTCTTGTTTGTTGGTGGGGAGAAGTGTTTTTCACCAGTTCTTTGTAGTTTCTTCAAAAGGTGACATGGAGTTCTAGAAAGCTAGAGTGGTTAACAGCAGACATTTGGATCAAGAATGGCAGAAAGTGTTCAACACCACCAAACTGAAAACTGTAAGGCCAAAACTTTCAGCATGAAGCAGGCCAGAATGTTACTTGAAAAGTGGATTTGTGCCCAGCGTGCAACAAGCCAATCTTAACACGCTCAGGAGAGATGCTGTATTTATTCAGGCCTGGCTGCTCAGTGGACTTTTCCACAAATCAAACACACCTAACATCAGGTTTTGATGCTTCTTCTATACACAAAAATCAGAAGTTAGTACTTTTCCAAACACACCTGCTAGATACTGGTTGGTTAGTGATTAACATACAATTATAAGTAGAACCTTACATAATGCTTCTACTACTACACATGCTCAAGGGTGGGGGCCTTTTTGACCTGTGGGTGTGGTTTTTAGTATTATAATGAAGGTAGTTCACTTTCAGGACACTCAAAAGTTAGTTTCATTGCTAGATTACTTAATCTAATAGTTGCTTTGCCTGATTGTCAAATAACTCATTCTCAACTATTCTCTTTATGGTTCAGGATGTTCTGCATATTGTCTAAGGTTTGGACATCAAAGGCTATCCTTTATGAATTTCTTATTGCTAATCAAGGTCAGCTTGTTCAAGATTCACTCAACTAAGTTTCAAAACTTTGTAGTTGTCCCATATGTGCAGTAACTATAGCTACTAGCACAATTAACCATGGCTACTAGCAAATGTGAAGTATACTGTATCAAGGACATGCAACTCTAGGAAATGGATTTGATGCCTATTATGCCTTGATGCTTGCATTTTACTGCACTCTTACCACAGCAAGCTGCAGTTCCCCTACCTTGTCCTCCTGATCTACTGAAATATGTTGTCCTCCCTTTATCTGTGCTTCCCCTGCAGTTCCCTTGCCTCTCTTTCCTTACCAGTTGGCTGACAGCAGTGGGCATGGGTGGCTCTGGCCACCATCCTGCCATCTGCCTGGCCGGCATATTCTTTTGCTGCTCAAACATCCAGCTGGAATAGCACAGCAACTAACTGCCAAGCTTGTGCTTGGTGTCCCTAAGAGGTTGCTGTCTCACATACTTCTACTTCTGATGAACTTGAAGACTTTCTCTAACCTTGAGACCTCTGTGGTTTGTCTAGGTCAGTGCACTCAGAGGCTGTCAGTGAAGAGGGAAAGGTGGTACATCATATAGGCACTAGGTTCCCGTGAAAGGGCACTAAAAATTTTGCTCTGTGTTGCAGCACCAGGCATGTTCTTGGCTGCAGAGAATTTTGTGTCTGGCCACTGCCCTTTCAATGCTGTCCCACATGGCTGCCAGCAGCAGGCTAGAATCATCCACATTCATGCGGTGTGCTAGCAGTGCTCAGCAACGGTGTCTAAATTCTGTTTGACCACCTCTGTGCCTTCCCTTCCCAGGACATTGTTCTCACACTGAAGGAGAAGCTCTCCATCCGGAGCATTGCGCACTTTGCCCTCGCTCTGGAGGAGCAGTACAATGTGGCAAAGATCCACCTGCTGCATGAGGAGGAGCTCATCGAGCAGGTGAGCAGAGTCCCTCGCATGCCCACACAGCCATGCTGGCGCAGGGGGGCACCAGCACCAATGAATTGTGACCAGTGAGGTGCAGAGACAGCTCAGCTTTGCAGGTGGCACAAGAGGGAGTGAGCTTGCCCCCATCTCCACAGGGGCTGTCCTCTTCTCCCTGCCTGTTTCATGTGTTACCATTGCATTAACCAGAGCCCCTAGAGAAATTATGCTTTTAGAAGTGTCTCGCTGTTTACAGAGCCCACAGAGCAATACCCATGGGCTGGTATTGCTTGGACCATGTAGAGCAATTGAGGATGAGCATGCTTTGTGCCGCCTGTCAGATAGGCCAATCTACAGAGGACTATTTGAGACAGTCTTAAAATAGCTGCGTACCCAGCTATTTACAGTTACCTAGGTAGTCAGAGAGTTAACCCAGCCAGGTGCCACTTTGATTAAATTCTAAATCAAAAGTTTGTGTCCTGCAAACATGAGGTTAGCTCTGTTAGTATTCTGTTGCTCTGCTATCAATTCTGGGCTAATCGGATTTGTCAGAATGTGCTTCCTTGGGAGGTTCATCTCCATGCTGTTGACTTCATTGGTTGGTGATCCACTGTGGTGCAGAAAGATTTCTAACACTGTCCAACCACTGAGCACATGTGCCTGAGAATTTCTGCTTTGTTTCAGTTAGTGAGCCTATATGGGATCTGCCCAGAAGAAAATATTCTAGTGTTTAACCCAGGCACCTTAACCATTGTACTGACATTATAATGATGATCCAGGTGTCTGTTTAGGGCTGCTATATCTTATGACTGAGCTTAACTGCAGAGAAGCTTGCTCCTTCATGTGTTGTTATCATATGGCCTTGAAGCCTCTGTCCTGATTATACTGCAAGTATATGAGATCAATGGATATTCAGTGAAGTTTTGCTGTCAAAGGACTTCCAAACTACCACTGAGAGAAGCAAAAACCAGAAGAAGAAATGAAGATAAAATTACAAAATACTAGCAATGTCTCTTTGTATATCCTAAGGACAATGGCTAATCTGCAGTCATCCCACTTGCCAGTAGCTTTAATGATTTCTGTGAGTTCATACAAGCCAGAGGCTTACTATACATTTATGAAGGGAGGGACTACAGCAGTAGTTGTGGCATGATGCTGTTTGTCTGTTGCAGGTGGTCCAAAAAAGAGAATCTCAAGACTATCGGTGCCTCTTCAGAGTTTGCTTTGTCCCAAAGGATCCCTTAGACCTCCTGCAGGAAGACCCAATTGCCTTCGAATATCTCTACCTGCAGGTGAAATCAAGACATTCCATGCTACAGGATTTCTTTTTACCCAATTCTCATTTCTGCTTTAAACCAAGCATGCTTCAGGCCAGTTCAGTTACATGAATGTGAAATTCAGAGCACTTAAGAACAAAGCATTTGGATTCAATTTGCCTTAAATTCTTAAATCAACCTACATGCTTGGCTTTTTAACAGAATGAGATTGAAATGAGCTGGGTTGCTCCCTTTATTTGATGCACAGTAGTCATATCAGAGGTCTTATCCTGACTTCCTGAGCTCCCATCATCATGTTGATTCAGCTCTGTTTGTTCCAGAGCTGCAGCGATGTGCTTCAGGAAAGATTTGCTGTGGAAATGAAATGCAGTGTGGCGTTACGTCTGGCTGCTCTGCACATACAGGAGAGGATCTGTGCTTGTGCTCAGCCACAGAAAGTATCCTTGAAATACATCGAGTAAGTTCCCACATTTCTGTGTAATGTTGTGACAGCCTGGCAAAAGAAGGAGCCAACTCAAAGTGGCATCAGCTCTGTATTTGCCCAGTGTTTATCTCTGGATGAAAGACTGTCTCTGACCCAAGGAGACTGCAGTCTCTTAGTTGTGCTGGTCATTTTAGGGCAAGGTGGCTTCACGAGCCTTCCTGTCTTTGCGCTGCTGAGTTGCTTAAATAATATGGAGAGTCTAACATCTGGGCATGTCCCTAAGCAGAGGGAGGTTCTGATCTGTAGCTAGAGCAGCGACGTGAAATTGCAAATCTCTCGCATAGTTATGGTTACCCAGTCTGCTCCTGCCAGTATACTAAGATTTGCATTCAGTAGTTGAGAGGGTACAAATTCACATAGCCAGTACTTTATGTCTCTTCATCCAACAGAACTATATCAGAACTAACTAATTTTAGTCGAAGTGTTGGGTCCTGTGAAGTAGTGGGATCTAAGAAAAAATACCAAAAAATGCTTTCACAAGCAGCAGGTGTGCTGTGCTGCATGTCAGTGGTGTTAGACCACAGTCGCCCAAAAGAACAGCCTTGCTTTGAGAACTTGTGATGAACCAGTGATTAAATAACAGACATTTGTGTGGTAACTGCACCACTGAACCTCCGCCAGCCCATTCAAGCACCACTGATTCCTTGCATACAGACAGACATGCCGAACCATGTGCAGTTAGTGGAGAGTGAGAAGTGACTACAGCCAACTGCAGCATTCTTAGTTTCTGGATATTTAATGCTTGGGCTTAATAAGCTTTTCAGCAGGACAGATGGCCCACATTTTTGGGTCTAGGAAACTGGACATGTTAAAATGTAATCTTGTAACCAAAGTAAATTGAATGTAAAGACAGAATCTTCATCCTCTGGGTGGCAAGGACAGATTGGGACCATTATGCTGACTAAGATTGTAGATTATCTCCTGTATAACCATGTAAAAACAGGCATTGTGCATGAAAGTGTGTGTTCCTCCAGCCCCATCTCCTGACTCAGCAGAAGTGAATTTGAGTGAGGCACTCACATTGCATGAGCTGTCCGGACATGTTACAGCACCCTGAGGCTTGGTGCATCCTGGACTGGCATGGTGCCTTTGCCCTTCTCTGCCTCTGGCCAACTGCCCTTCTGCACATTCCTGTGTTGCTTGGGGACAGCGCTGCTAGGACCCACTTTTCTGCCTTCCTGTCTGTCTGACAGGAGGGACTGGGGAATTGAAAACTTCATCTCACCAACGTTGCTTCGAAACATGAGAGGGAAGGATATCAAGAAAGCTGTCAGCTACCACATGAAGCGGAACCAGGTGCTACTGGACCCTCGGCAGAAGGTAGTGTGCATCTCCTGAGTTCAAGGTGCTTCCCAGGATGGTGGCAACATCTCTCAGGGCCAAAGCGGCAGTGTCTTTCTTCTCTGGGTCTTCTCTCTGTGGGACCACTTGGGGCTTTTCTCCTATCTTTTCCTCTTGTAACTTTCTCTGCTCCACACACACGCAGGTTTCCCTGCATAGTGTGTTCTGTTGCAGTTTGCTTGTGGGGTTGCCAAATGGCAAATGTGGTACTGTGGGATGGTCCTGTACGGATCTGTTGCCTATTCAGACTAAGGTAGATGTGTTAGTCAAATACTAAGCCCTGTATGAAAAGAACATCATCTGGCCTACAGGCTACCTGGCAAACTTTATCAAGTGTCATGTTTCTAAACAGTATTTCTTCTCTTGCAAAATGAAGCATATGCTCGCAGCAGTCCAAGTGCGCCTGATCTACCTGCAAATTCTGGGAGACCTGAAGATGTACAATGGAAGGATCTTTAATGCCACCCTGATGGTACGAGTGCTGTTTATTTATGTAATTGGGTTTTGGCACACTGTCCTACTGCCTTGCTTTGTGCATTTCTTTTGACAGTGTACTTGGACAATAACTGCAAAGATAGGGCACAAGAAGCAGTTTTAACCCTTTTTTCTTCACCAGTGGGTAAGATCGTGTCTTAACCAAAACAAACCCTATCTAAAGCAGAAACGTTTAAATATTTTTCTGAATTGATTGTTGATGTGAGACTAGCAACCTGTTACTGAGTCTCCTTCCCTGTCTTATCTTTGACGCTTGTCGAAAATGTACCAGTAGCTCTGGTGATGCTGTTCCAGACAGCTCCAGTCACACCACTTTTCCCTGTCCTGGGACATCATGATAAATATTGGTAAGGGACTCTTCTAGGGTAATTCAGCATAGTTCTACTGAAGTGAATAACATACCAACCTACACAACAATTATGCATATTTTTTCCAATTGAAAGTTATGACTTGCTCTTCAGACAAGCTCTGTCTATATTTTGTGTGTTGTAAAGTACTGAAGAGATCTGGGGAGGTTTCAAAAACCCTTGACAAGATATTAGCCATGCTTAAACCTTACTGTAAAAAAGAACACTGCTCCTTTCACAAGAGATTTCTTGGGGTTTTTTTCACCTGTTCCGACTTCAATCTGTACTGTGGACCACAAGCTGTTTCATACAGAGAGGTAAGCCATGTATGTAGGTCTGTACCAGAGGAGGACTTTACTGGTGGGTTGCAGTAATGCCTAGGCTTGCACCTGTGTGCAAATTGAAATATTTCTGCCAAATTATATGGACGTTGATTCACTTTTTTCAAGTGTCTGATCCTAACAGAAATTGTTGACATTTCTTCCAAAACCAAAAATGCCTTCCTGAAGTTTCTAGCTAGCTCCAGTAGATCTGGTGCAGCCTGCCAGGTGACACTTCTGATAGCAACCTGCTGCTGACCACCTCTTTGGATCTGCTAGATGGCTGGTGCATCTCTGGGGCCACCTACCCTGAGGGTACAGGGAAACTGGTGGTCCCCAAGCAAGAGAAGAGAACAGCCAGGAGCAGGTGACCTGACAGCCTGTAAGTAATGAGAGGCTCCCTCTGCAGCTGGTTACAGCCCAGTTGTACAGCGAGTTCGGTGTTAAGATACCACACAAGATTGGGTGACTTAGGAGTCCCTACCCAGCACAGATGAATGGGTTCCTGCTCAGATTTTAGCTACAGATTTAACCTCTCCCCCTACAGCTACAGGACAGAGAATCGTATGTTGCCTTGCTGGTGGGTGCCAAGTACGGGCTGAGCCAGATTATCAATAATAAGCTCAACATCATAACAAGTCTGGCAGAGTTTGCAAACATCAGCAGGGTGGAGCTTACAGAGGAGTCTGAAAAAGTGAGCATGGTGAAAATCTACCTGCAGGATCTGAAGGTAAGTGGTGCTTTCATGAATGGCCAATGTGTGGCTGTGTCAGGGCCAGAGACAAGTTGAGAGTCATTCACACCATCTGTTCTTTTCAAAATCTGACATGTAGTTGGTGGTGTTATCAGTACAAAAGGCTTAGAACAGACTCAGCAGGGGAAGCTTGAAGGAAAAATACAAACTATTTGAAGAAAATTGATTCTTCCTGTTGTCCTCCATCAGTGAGACATATCAAAGAAACAAAATGCAAGAAAAACTATTTCTCTTCTTTCTCTGTGCCTCATGCAAAAACAGTGCTCTGCAATAGTGGTGGTATGGGAGAGAGGGAGTGTCTTCTGAGCATGTAGCATGTTCCTGCAGATTGTGGTACAAGCAGTATTTGTCTATTCTAACATTTTTTTACTGTTTTCTTCTTCCATCCACCCCAACCTCCCCATCCCTGTCTGTCCAACCCACCCCCCCGCCGTTCCTCCCCCCCAAAAAAAGCTGCTGACTCTGCTGCTGGAATCAAATAGTGCAAAAGATCTTGTCTGCCTCATCACTGGCTATTACAGGCTGTTTGTGGATGCAAATGTCTCCATATTTACCTGGGGAGAGAAAAAACAACTGCACCGTGTCTCAGCTGAAGAAGGTTTAAAAAAAAACAGCCATTTTTTTGCGAAAGGATGGGGAAAAAGTGGGTGGATCCTCCAGCAGTAGAGGTGTTATTCCCTCCTGGGAATAGCATCATGCTAGAACAGTAGCCAAGGGGTGTACAGTTGCATCTTCAAATTATTAAGACTGTCAGCCTTAGTGCAGGCAGTGCCAGGTTTCCATCAAGCCCAGATATGTCAGGCTAGGGAAGGGCGGCAGTAATTGTTAGCTTTTTCCAGGAAGTGAAGTCTCAGTGCCTGCCATTGAAATGGAAAACCTGTCACTGAGCACTTGTGCTCTTTTACCAACCTCCTGGACAACTTCCTCTCTGCTGGCATCCCTTGGCCAGGAGACAGAATTTATTTGCCATGTTGTCCTGTCCTTTGTCAGGATAACTGCAGCCTCGTAGTGGTTGCAGACTGAAACTTTGGGCAATGAGTTATCTGGCTGCTGTTCTGCAGCTCCCTCTGGTACTGCTCTGCAGTAAAACCAGGCAAAGCAGGCAGGAGGGACCAAGCCTCCACTGACAGGTTACGGCCCTGCAGGTCAGATTGCATCTTCACTTTGTTTGCTGAGCAAGTGAGGGCAGCACTCTTCAGGCTTTAAGCCACTCCTGTGCAGACAAGTTCATAACCCTTTCCTGACTGCTCCTCCTTGCCACTGCAAAGGACAGGCTGATAACATTATTATTATTATTAAATCTCAGGGTATGAATCTCGAACCTGCAGTGACTCTGAAGACTCCTGGGAGCTGGATTCCTCCTCAGAGCATTGCTTGGACAATCCTGTAGCATACGGCAGTGCCCATCCTGTGTGCAACAAGGATAAGCTGGGAGAGCTCCACAGCCTGGAGGACAACACAAAGCCCCAACCTGGAGGGAGTGACCAGTGCGATGTGGGTGACAATGCAACAGACAGCACATCTGAGGCTTCTGATTCAGCCAACACTGAGAGCCGAGGCTTTAAGACAAGTGGCTCCAGTGACTCTATGGATGCACTAGAGGAAGATGAGTTGGAAGCTTGCTCTTCCTCCAGGCCAGAATTCTTCCACTTCTATATGCCAACAGTGCAGGAGATGAGCAGCTCAGACAAGAGCTTTTTCCCCATTCATGCTGCAGGAGGATCCAGCAGGGCAGAAACCAGAGACTACTTTTGCTTCTTGCAGGTACCACATGCAGAGAAGCCTGGGTATGAAGACAGACCCTCTGAGCAGAGAAAGGAGGACATTGGTGCGTCTGTGCTGGAGACCAAGCTGTCTGAGAGAAACACCATGGGATACTACAACCTGTGCTACAGCATATGCCCTTCAGGCAGTATGGAGAGGAGCAACATCAGTTGCAGCCCTCGAAGAAGTCCTTGGAAGGATGGGTCTGCCCAGGAAGAGGCACCATGTGGAGCAGAGCTGACAGCAGAGGCACGCGACCTCATTTTGGAGCCACCCCCAGGCTTTGGTGACACCAGCTCTGAGGAGGAATTCTATGATGCTGCAGACAGGCTCAGCCCTCCAGATGGCCTGGCAGGTAAACTCTCCCCCACATGCTGCAGGTTACCTTCCTTCCATCCCCTTGGCTGGTATGTTGCCTGTTTCCCATGTCAGTCTTCCTGAAGGGGTTATCTTTCAGATTTTCATGGTTTTCCCAAGATTTTTGGAGGCCCTTTCAACACCCATTCTTCATAAGCTACTCTTTAGCAGAAATACAGTGGATGTACACACAGGGGTCAGAGTGGCAACTTTGCGGGGAGATTTGTTGTCACATCCAGGGATTGGATCCCAGAAAGTGAGTTTTCAAATGAGTTTGGAGTTCTGGAAAGTTCCCAGGTTTCTGTAGGAATTCCAGAATACTGATGTGTGGCTCTGCCTGATCCTAAAGCCACTATGCTGAATGAGTTAAGTTCTGTGCATCATTCTGTGTAGGCTGAATCTTTGGTGATGAAAAGTGATGAGTCCCAGAAACAGAACACAGGAAAGGTGTGTGTCCTTGCACTGACAGGGAGCTCTATGGCACATATTCCCAGTGTCAGGCAGTACCTTCATTGTGTTCTTTTCCTTCAAGCTGGGGAGAGCTAAGAGCTGTAAAACATTCTTGTTCCATTTACCCTCAAGATCAGAAATAATTTTGGGGTCATGGGCAAGTCACATAACTGGGTCAAGGAGTCCTGTGGCTGAGCAGCTCCCTGGTAGTTGCCTTTTCTCAGAACGGAGAGGATTCGTGTTTCTGAAGTATTCAGCTCTTTCAACATTGGCTGAACTTTTTAAGAATTTGGTTAGTGTAGTTAAAACAATTTTGGCTTTTGCATTCATGCATGGTAACAATACCATGTTCAGGCACAAACCTGTAATCTCTGGAAATGTTTATTGTCTAAATGTCCAGGCTGAGAATTTCTGATAATGCTTCTATTCAGTGTTGATAAATCTACAACTGTAGACAATGTTCTCTGTAGACACTGCTAATATCACCAAATTTAACTTGAGAATTATAGCTGTACCTGCAGTCAGATCAATGAACAAGGGGAAAGACTATCTAGCACCCTTCATCACTAGTCCTGGACTTCAGTCTTTGAAGCCCCAGGCCCAGACTCTTTATTTTTCTTGAGATAGCTGATTCCAAGTATGTGCTTAATCCATAACGTAAGAGACGGTTTCCTTTGGCACTTAGGAGTCAGGCTTTGCTGCCAAACGTTTATGTCTGCAATTGCAGGACCTGTGTTAAGAGCTTTTTGGCCTACTGCATAGATGCATGGATATTCTGTGCCTGGGGCTATTTCCTGACTTGCATGTTTTTTTCTTGACAGGAGGCTGCAATACGACATCTCAGGAGGGTACAGACAACAACCCCTTCATCCTAAAGAAACCGAGGTGTTACAGCTTGCGGGAAAACCTGATGACAAGGCAGACAACAGGGGAGAAACACAGAAGGGAGAAGGAGCTGACACATGCCAAGAACCTGAGGAAGAGGAGATCTTTCCTTAAAACTGATTACACCTCGCAGGTGACTTTCCCTTTGGCTTTGCCAGGCTCTCTGCAGAGCTACTCCTCTTGGCCACCTCCCCCACCACTCCTTGCTCAGCCCCCCACTCCACCCTCCCCAGAGAACATCAAGAAGGATGCAGAGCTGGGACTTCCTGCTGCCACTCAGGCTCAGAGAGACACTGCTAGCACAAACCCATCCTCTGACCTGATGGAAATGGAGCCTGACACCATGGAAACAAAATCAGTGACTGACTCGGTGGTTTATTCCATTTCAGCTGTTCGCCTGCAGGGTGACCAGCACAGGGAGGAGAGCGCAGGCATTGCCATACATGTGGACAGTGGCCTCCAACCTGCACATGCTGTACATCCACCTTTCTTGTCCCTGAAGGATGCGGTACCCCTTCCTGGGGGCCAGAGCAGAGCTGCCTGGGAAAGTTCCTCTGTGAAGACAAATACTGGGTGGCCGAATGAGGAAAGCTGTGTGGCCACCAGAGGCTGGCTGGCTCAAGTGGCACTGGAGGAGGTGAGGGAGGTGATGGCAGCCCAGCACAAGGCTGGTGATGTACCCCCATTCCTGGACCAAGAGGTGACCTGCCCTGCTGACGAACACACACTGCCACCATCAGCTCATGGCCCCAGCATAGCTTCTCCCCACGTGGTGGACCAGGACCAGGAACTGCTCCCCACTGCCAGGAGGCATATAGCCTGTGAGGAGCCTGTCCCGATTCCCTGTGAAGAAGAAAAATCTAATTGTGACAGCTGTGCTGAAAACAGCAGTGACAGTGCCTTGTCACAGGCAAAAAGCAGACAAGTGATAAACAAGGAGGCCTTACGGAAAGTGCACAGTAGAAGTCACGTGGGTTTTCCAGATGCAACCCAGCTCTTAACAGATTGCAGCAGCACTTCAGGGATTGTAACTCGCCTCTCCTGGCTCTCATTTGGGGTGAGGACAGACCTCATACCACCCAGCTCATCTCAGGAAAGGATAGATATCTCACTAGAGCTTATGGCCTCTCAGAAGAGCAGTGGATGCCTGGGGGCCGATGCTGTCAGAAGGGAGATACAAACATCCCTAGCTGGACCACCCTATGAGAATGAGTTGGTAAGCAGCCAGGAGCTGGATGAAGGAGAGCCCAGAGAAGACACAGGAAAGGTGGCTCACAAACAGCTGTGGCCGGTTCAGACTCCTCTTCCCAGAGAACAGGCTACTGAGGTGGAGAAAGAGTCTCCTCTGACTCCATCTCTAGGGCTTTCCACCTCCTCAGGCCCAATTCCTTTGGGCTCACTGGGGAAAAGAGCAGGAGACCAGGGGGCTTCAAAACACTCCTTTCTCTGCTTTAACCACAAGAAGGATGAGCAGACCCCTTCTGACCCCATCATGACCAGGTCCTTGGGTTTTTCCACAGAGAAGAAGAAATCTCCACCACAGCTTGGGATGGACAAATGCAGCTGTCGGCTGTCCTATATCAGCTGCTTCCACAGGCCTGATGACAAGGCAGAACACGAAACCACAATCCCCATGTGCAGCACAATTCTTGGGCCCCTCACCACCCCACCATCCAGCAGCTGCAGTCTTCCTGGGACTCCTGTGAGCAGTTACCCAGTCTCCATTGCTAGGGATGTGGCATGGTGGGATCCTCACGTCCAAGCCCTCGGCCAGCTGAAGGACCAAGCACATATGAGCCCTGCAGATTTCTCCTGCTTCCTAGCCTACACGACAGAGCTGCAGGAGGTTGTGGGGAAGCTCTCTGGGAACCAAGCAACCCACCTGCAAGATCAATGTGCAGAGCAGGGTGCTGAGAGCAAGGGTGCCCTTGGCTTAGCCTCCCAGGACCTGCTGTCCAGTTGCCAGGAGCTCCTGAAAACAGAGCAGCCCCTCAAAGAGCTGCAGGGTGTTCTGAGGGTGACATTTGATCACTTGGTTCAGCTGGCAGTGGCCTGCTTCCAGGTGACGCACTGCCAGATGTGCAGGCAGAGGCAGCAGGAGCTTGGGTCTGCGCTTGTGGATGTGGTGGATACCTACCACCAGTTTGTGCAAGCTGTTCACCAGCAGCTTTGCAGGCAAGGCTGTCCAGATCTGGGTGCCAAGCTCCTCACCCGCCAACACACAGCCCTTACAGCTGCCATGTATTGTCTCCTGCAGCAGTTCAGGGTACCCCCGTTGCTGTGATGGGGCTGTTTGGTGGCACACGAGTGCACTGGGTGGGGAAGAGCCCAGCCATATTCTCTGTCCACTACCAGGCTCTCCCCCACAGGATGTTTAGCCCCACAGCTTCAGAATGGTCATGGAAGGACATGTCCATGCGTGTCGGCTTAGCTCCACCAAGAGCCACCCTGTCTAGGGGTGGTCATGGGGCAGGGCATACTGCCCTCCAGCCTAGCTTTTGTGTAGTTCTGCTTACACAGTTTGTATGTAATATGCAACCTCTAGAGAACTAAAATGGCTTATCTATTGTGCTTGGGGCTTGTCCCACATCTCCCAAAGGCCTTGCAGGTGGCCAGTCTCAAGGTATTGTCTTGGCTGCCTTCTGTTGCCTGTGGAGAGAGACATGAGCCTTTCAGCCTGCTTTTCTTTCTGCTCCTTACTCTCCAGGCAGACTCTGGTAGAGTGACATCAAATCCCATCCAGGCCCGATGTGAAGGAACCAATGCTGCTTTGTCCACCTTCTGTAGTGGAGGGTGTGTCTAGATGTATAAAGGAAACCTCTCTGGGAACAAAGCTATGCTATATTTAACTGCTTTTTCTTGCAAGGTCAGGAGAGGTCTGTCCCAGGCAAGGGAGGCAACACCATATTTCTGCTTGTCTGATGTGGTTTGTGTGTCAGCCAGCTCTTTGATTTCCATTTGCTGATACTTGAGAAAGTCCTCAATTAACTCCTCCCCCCATGCTACTTACGGATCCGTGTCTTCCAGGAGGAACAAGCAAGCCCTGAGACCTAAATGCCACCTTCAGAGCTGTGGAGATGATCCATTATGCTGGCCTCCCTAGGAGAGGGCAAGCCTTTTTCCCAACCTCATCAGTAGCTCTGCTTCTACCATGTACAGTACAGCCCTAGCTAGGTATGAGCTGTTTGCCCTTAAAGGTCATCTAGCTGTGCATCCCTGTTGAATCATCACTGCAGTGCTGGAGGCATGACCTCAGGGCCCTCTGAGAAAGAGGACAGAAGCATGTCCCCGACTGCTGCTGTTTAACTTAGTGGTGTGTTTGGGCCCAGCTGGCTTTCTCTGAGGGATGCCTGCAGCAGATGTGCTGTGTGACGAGCTGTTGATGCAGCCGAGCATGCTCAGGGTGGAGGGGTCTGCAGCAGGGGAGCATGGGTGGGCCACAAGAGGTGGCCAGCTCTGCCCTTGCACACTGAGTCTCCCCAAGCACCAGGGGAGCATGGGGCCAGGATGGTCCTGTGGCTCTAACATCTGCAGGAGGCCACCTCCACTTCTGTTCATTCTTTGATGCATCTGGAGGGAGTAAAAGGCAAGTCCTTGCAGCTGCTCTAGTGTGGAAGAGGATGACTGGCACAGGAGTGCGGCAGCACCCCTGAGAAACCTCCCTATCCGGGCAGACTCCGACAGCCAGGCAGACAAACACCCACAGGAATTGGGCAACCTTTACCACCCCCAAACCAGATCCCGTACAGCTGCTACTCTCACTGTGCCTACAGGCAGCAAGCTAGCTAACCAAGGGCAGTCTGCTTTTCTGGCCACACAGGGACAGGTTGGCCAGAGTACCTTCAGCCACTGGGGAGGTGAGCACTGCCAGGTGTTTTGGGCGAGTGTATGCTGCTGCCTAGCAAACTCGGGCTCAATGAGACAGTTAGTCTCTTACGCTGAAGCCCACATGCAGGCCCTTGACCACACAGCAACAGCTGATGAGCAGGGGGATATGAAGAATAACTGGAAGAGCACGGGATGCTGAGAGAGTCTGTAGGGCACAGCAAAGCACCAGGCACCAGCAAACACAAATTCAGCCTATGTGGGGAGCAACACCCTGTGTCCACCAACAGTTGCTGCTGCAGGCCCTACTGCCAGTCTTGTGGACACTGAATGCCGGGTGGTATAAAAAGGTTCTTCATCTGCAAGAGAACTTAAACACATAAGCAAACAAGATAGGTAAATTACCTCAGAAGACCTTCAGATTCTTCCACTGGTGTTTAGCCATTGTCATGGCCTGGGAGGCTTGGTTTTTTTTGTTTTGTTTGGTTTGGTTTTTTTTTTTTTTTTATGGGTTTGTTGTTTTTTTTTTAGCAACAAGGGCTACAGTAATTTATCAACTTAGATGTATCAAAAATGCTTTCTGCTGTGTCTGTGAAATACATTACTGCTCTTTGTGCAGGGCACAGTTGACTCCTAGGTACCTTCCCAGGAGGAACATCAGGGTTAGTGGACTTTGCATGTCAGTGTGTGATGATATACCATGCATCAGTAACTGTAAGGATGCAACAGGAGTTTATGAATAAACATTTTATTTTAGATTAGATGCACAGAATTAGCTATAGGCTTCAACAACTCACCAAGTCTTCAATTCAACTGGTTTAAAACCGTTAGGATGTTGTGCACCTGGGAACTGTTTCTCCCTTGGGGAATCACTTCCTGTCTTGCATTTCCCAATTGGAACAGCACTGTCCTTTTCCATGGGAAGGAATTTTCCTCACCAGTTAAGTTTTGCAGTTCTAACTTCACCTTACTGCTTAATCAAAAGGAAAGAAATACCTTAAAGCTCTCTTCCCTGTCTGAGAACAGTAGATGCAGTAGTCAGAAACACTGTAACAAGCATCTCCAGAGAAGCAAGACTGAATTCCTGACAGCTTTTACTTGATCCCAGGGCTCCATCAACTTTGTTTTCTATTAAATGGGAAAAGTAATTTCCAGCATTGTACTGCTGAGGTAGAATGCATCACTTGCAACAAGGTCCTTAAACAAGATTTAAGCAGAGCCATTTTCTCTATGCACATCCATACTGGTGCCTCTGCTTGAAATTTGGAGTTTGCCTCTCATCTGCACAGCTCCATAACACCACAAAATAAAGGTCTCTTGTGCGTTGCCATGATGAGGTATTTCCACTTATTTCACTGCGTCGGGTAGCACGTAGCCTTTTCCAGAAGAAACTCCAGCTTTCAAGGCTGCTGGCCAGCTTCGGGTCTCATAGTAAGTTGATAAGACATCAAAGACTGTCAAGAACAGAGAGACCTACCGTGCTGTGATACCAGTATCAATAGCAAGCTCTATAATATGCACCCCACTGGCTGAAAAACGTCAGGATGAGACGTTAGCATGGGGTTGGCATTCCCTCCAATTTAAAATCTGATGAGCAAATGTTTGAGGCAGCTCATCTAGGAGCAGGGGACTATTTTGAATATGACTTTGGGGAGCTATGGCTAGGAAAAGCAGAGGCTGTGTCAACTAAAGCAAGATGCCCCCAGTCTGACTAACCTGTACTTCCCATCTGTGCTGCCAACAGCACACCCATGGTGGGTCACTCCTACTGTGCTTCAACCATGGCTGCTCAGATGCTGTGTCTCCACATCAGGACTCCCTTGGGACACAGTGGTGTCTAGCAGCTATGCCTGGTGCTCCGCAGAGCCCTCCACCACCACCTTGGCCTTGTGCTGATGGAGATGGTAACAAAGTCCTCATGCCAGAGGTAAGAACCTACAAGAGCTGGCCTAGGACATGACCCCTCCGTAGTCCCTAGCAGAAAGGTGCCAGACAGCCCACTGAGGCAGAGGAGCATGGGCACATCCACTGATGTGACCAGGTGGCCCAGCCCATGGTTATGACTTCCAGCCATCACAGTGGTACAGCACACCAGCACCCCACCCTGTTGTGAGCCCTGCCTTGATTGAGCCCAACACAGGCCTGAGAATGTCCTCCCTTGCCTGGGACCTTCTGTGACCAGTAGCAACAGCAACCCCCTCACATTTCCCCACACTGTGTTCACTGCTTTGTACAGAGCAAGAGTGATGCAAGTCCTGCTCCCCTGAGAACAGGCTGATGCAGAGAAGCACACAAGTCCTTTAAGATGGCGGTAGCAGGGATAAAACCTAGTAAGCAAAACGTTTGCTCCCAGTGTTTCCCCATTACTCAGGACTGGGCCTCCACTCTGCAAACACTGCTGCTCCCCCGCTTGATAGCTCCCACCCTCTCTCCAGCCCAGGCAAGTGACAGGACACAGCTCAGCCTCTCACCTTGATTAATTGCCAGTGTCTCCGAGTGGTAGTTCTTGGTGTTAACAGTTTTCACCATGTACTCACGAATGGGGAGGCGGGCTGTTTGCAAGGACTGCTCTTGTGCCCTTTGCAGCGTCAGCTTCTGTAAGGGAAATAACAAGGTGTCCAGTGTGTACAGACTTGCCCATGCATAGCATGCACATCATTTTGGGTACAAGCAGCTATAGAGCTGAAAACTGTCCTGGGGCTCATTTCATGCAGACTACTGCAGTCTCTCTCAGCCTGGTGGTAGACCCAGGCAGAACCTTGAGGGAAAACAGATGGCAGCACAACAGTGATGTCCCAAATCAAGGCAGCAGCAGCAGCAGCACTGGTTGCTACCAATGGGCTGTCTCTGCTCTCAGGAGAGAATGGGGCAGAGAGCACCTTCAGGTTCTGACAAGCTACTACCCACCTTATGAATACTTTCATCCACCAGGCCTCCGAGGACATACACTTTATTTGGCTCAATATCTTCAAGGACTAGAAATAAGATAAGCACATGCTCAGCATTGTACAACAGTAAAATCATGCACTACACCATTCTCCAAGCAAGACCCCAGTTCCATGGGAAAGCTGTGACCAGTCACCTTTCACCCCGAAGCCTCAGACTGTGCAGAAAGCTGAGGCTTCAGAGACAGAACTGCCTGCCTGAACCCGCAGGTAGACTGAAAGGGGGAGATCAGACACAGGCTGAAAGCACATAGTGCTAGAGATACCTTACACTGCTCCCTTTAACCGCTGCCTGTTCTGAGATGTGACTAATCTCATCAGTCTGATCCCAATCTGCTCTGCAGATGCCTCCCCACTGTCAAGGTCACCTACTAAAACCTTCCTCCACCCTTAACAGATTCTTTATCAGAATAAGGCACTTGCATAAACCAAAAAAGGGCTCTATATCCAGGGACACATGTGGCCGTTAGAAATGGAGGAAGAGAAGAAAATACAGCAGCAAATTAAGCAATAAAGGGAACAGTGTAGCTGCTCCATGATTTCAGAGAAAGATATAATTTAGACTGTACCCAAAACTGCCACAGCATCCCCACTTGGCCACCTCATAGTATTACAAACTGCAGGGGGTCTACACAAAGGTTTTAAGTTAAAAGTCTGCTGCAGATCACACACATAGCCCTGAGTTGAAACCTCATTCCCTGTCAAAACAGACTGAGAAAAAAATGGGTTTTAGCATCAGATCAAAGTACACAGTACATCTCATGCAATTTGAGACACTGAATGCTTGGAACTGAATCACCTGAAGTATGAAATAGTGTCAAAAACTTAAAAATCAACCTCTTGCCCTATTGTCCCCCTATGCCTAAGACATGTAAAATATTTACCATTCTCAGAATCAGGAGTGAGATAAACAATTGCATCTAAAGGAAACAAGTCCAGGTAACTTTCTTGAGTTGTATCCATCTGAAAAATGCAAGACAGTGACAGAAGCAGCCCATTAGCCCAGAGTCCATCTGCCAGAGCAAAACCCACTCTCAGACACAAAAAAAATACTGGAACTGCCTTAGGTGTTTAAACTCCTACAGATAAGACTGTTGATTTTTTTTTTTAAAAACAGAAAATGTTTTTATATGAGCACTGAACAATACATGTGTCAAAATCAATTAAATTCTCTTCTCATCAAAATCCTTAGATGTGTTTTGAGGAAGGGAGAGCAGCAATAAATACCTAGTATTAAATGAGATTGTAATTCTTGAGAGATTCAGGAATCTCCACCTCAGGTGGCTTTCTCCCCTTCACTGTTATCAGGCACAGCCCTACATGTGCTGTCAAACACACCGCTCAACATCGCTGCCATAACTTAAGTAACCAAGCTTAAGCGTCTGCCTTTTCCCAGTATCATGGGTCTCTTTGCAGAAGTAACATGTGGAGAAGGAATTCTCCTGCAGGCAGGAGGGACACAAGCTCTAACCTGAAGGCCTTGCACAACGCCCCATTATCTGTCAGTTCTCAGCTTCTGCCAAGGGGCAAGAAAATGTGACCTTAACCACTGTTACTGAACGGCATTCCCACACCACTCAGCTCTCACCCGAGGCCACCTCAGCCTGTCTTGGGTCAACACTGAGGGCCAGCACTGGGGCTGTAGGGTGCTACAAGTCTTGAAAGCACTGTGGCGCTTACCAAATAATTGGAGAAGCCGTCATTCATGCGAAAACACTCCTCATAGATCAACGAGCCCACCACAAACTCCGTCAAACAGAGCCAAAAGGGCTTCTCGGCCCGCCTGTTTGCCCCGTAGAGTCTCCTGATCTGGGAAGCGAGGCGGCTTGTTTCCTTCCAACAAATAACAAGCACAGTGACCCACAAGTCTAGGGGCAGGGGGTAACACGGCTCCATTCAGGGCCTGCAGACATCCGTGGTGCCCGTGTTACCATCTGGTTGCTGAGTCTCTGGACAGGCTCTTCCTGGTGAGCTCAGCTCAACTGCGTCTGTCTGGGTCTCAGGGAAAGCCAGAGCTGGGTGTGCACCCAGCCAGTGCTGGAGACCAGGCAGCCACGAGCAGGCACTGGGTGGAGGGACCAGCAGCCCCGCACCGGCTAAGCTCAGGAGAGCTGCTGCGTGCACCCTCACACAGCCCAGTTCCTTGGAGTTCCCCAGCACAGCTACCGCATACCAGTGTCCTGCCTCAGCCCCCGCCTCTCCCATGGAAACTTTCCAGAGCAGAAGCGGAGACGGACAGACAGATGGGAAAAGCAGCTGCCAGGCTGCGCTGTGGCTATGACGGGACACATCCCCAAGGTCTCCAAGAAGTCTCCGGGGGCTGGAGAGGGACCGTGCCGGCAGGCAGGGACCGCCCGTACCTTCTCGGTCATGCAGCCGGCCACACCGAGGTCCACGCAGAGCCGCGGCCCCGACTCCCTGGCTCGCAGCAGGCGCTCCTTGGCGAGGGCGGCCGGGGCCCTCCCGCCGGCCCGGCCGGCCGGCCCTGCGAGAGGGAGCAGAGAGAGGGCAGCGCCGGCCCGGCCCCCCAGCTCTCCGGCGGGGCCGCGCCGCGCCGCCTCTCACCTGGGCCCTCGGCCCGACGGGCCCGGCTCCTCTCCCGCTCCTGCCGCCGGTTCCGCCTCTTGGCCGCCAGCACCCGCTCCCAGCGCCTCCGCTTCCGCAGCGCGTTCCTCTGGGGGGGGCACCGGGGCTCAGGCCCGCGGCCCCCCCCGCCGCCCCGCCGCGCCGCCCCGCACTTACCGAGCACCGCGCCGCGCTGCCCGCTCGCCCCGCGCCGGGACCGGGGCCGAAGGCCGAGGGCTCGATCCGCAGCAGGCGGAGCGCCTCGCAGGCTGCCGTCGCCTCCCCCTCCGACTCGGCCGACGAACCGCCGCCATCAGCAGCGCCGCCGCCCGCCATCGCCACCGCCCGCCCCCGCGGGTGGCGGGGCCTCAGCCGGGAGGGGGCGGGGACGGGGGCGGTCCCGGGGCGGGGTCAGGGGCGGGGCCATGGGCGGAGGGCGTGTCCCCGCGGCAGCGGCCGGGGAACGTGGGGCGCGCGGGGGCGGGCGTGGCCGAGCCGGGGCCGGAGGCGGGGCCACCCCGCTCCGCGCCGCTCCGCATCCCCCACTCCGAGCTGCTCCGCTCCGCTCCGCTCCGCACCGCTCTGTACACCCCCGCACCGCTCTGTACACCCCCGCACCGCTCCGCTCCGCGCCGCTCCGCATCCCCCACTCCGAGCTGCTCCGCTCCGCTCCGCTCCGCACCGCTCTGTACACCCCCGCACCGCTCTGTACACCCCCGCACCGCTCCGCTCCGCGCCGCTCCGCATCCCCCACTCCGAGCTGCTCCGCGCCGCTCCGCTCCGCGCCACTCTGTACACCCCCGCACCGCTCCGCACCGCTCCGCACCGCTCCGCTCCGCACCGCTCCGCACCACTCTGTACACCCCCGCACCGCTCCGCGCCGCACCGCTCCTCATCGCCTCGCACCGCACCACACCGCTCCGCACACCCCCGCCCCGCCCCGCCCCGCCCCGGTCCCTTGCAGCGCGGCCCAGCCCCGCTCACGGCTGGCGGGGCTCCGCGGGGCGGGAGGACGGGGATCGGACCGCGCCGCCCGCGGAAGGCGCTGACCCGCTGGCGGAAAGACCGACCCGCGGCGACCCCGGCGGCGGCTCCCCGCGGAGGGGGCGGCGGGCCCGAGCGCCGCGGCCGTTTCCGAGCGTTGAGTGCGCCGCGGCCCCGGCGGCCCCCGGCTCTCAGCCGCGGCCGGTGAGGCCGGCGGCAGCGGCGCGACGCGGCGGGGCAGGCCGTGGCCGGCTGGGGAGGTCGTTCCGCGCCCCGCCCCGCCTGCCCGGCCGCCCGCCGAGGGAGGACGAGCCATGAGCGGTTCCGTGCTGCGCGGCCTGCGGCTGCGCCCCGGCCGCCCGCCCGTGAGTAGGGGCTCGGCCCGGGGCGGGGGGGTCGGGACCCGCGGGGAGCAGCGTTGCGGGGCCGGGGCGGCGGGCGGAGGGGCCGTCTCGTCCCGGCGTGGTGCGAGCGGCCCCGGTCCGCGGTGGCGATCGCGGCCGGTCCTGCCCCGAGCGCCCCGGCCGCGGTGCCTGCCGAGGGACGCGGCCCCGGCGGGCGCGTGGAACAGGCCCGCGGGCCGCGGCGGCAGCGGCCGGGCTGGGACCCCGGCGCGCACCGGCGCCACCAACTTCTGCCCTGGGCGCTTTCTCTGCTTCACGCGGGGCGTCACACGCCGTTGCCAGCTGGGGGTAACTCTGGCAAGCACTCGCGCACCGTCCCGCCGCGAAGTTGCTGCCCCGTGTCACGCGCCCTGTGTCCTCCGGTCCCCAACGCTCCTTCTTCCAGTGGCAGGAAAAGCCACCGGACCTTTGTATCGATGTGTGCAGGTTTGCTTTGGCTTTGAACCGGGTGCACGGCTGACCTTTACACAAGGGGAATCCTTGCTTTCAACGGCCTCACGCCCCATTATATTTTTGCACTTACCCTCAGAAGTTTCAATTCTGAGATGGTTTTCCTGTTTATACTTGCTTCAGTGTTCTTATCATAATTTTCATAGATGGTACCTTGATATGTTCTGGTACAGCACGTACAGCTGTTTCAACATCTCCCTTACTCACAGCAGCAAGTGTAGGTGTCTCTGCCCCAGTTATTGTTACTCATTTTATGCTGCAGCAGTGTGTTGGTGTTTCAGGTCAGAAATCAAGTATGTGCCAAGCAAAACCACTTGGAGAATGTGTGATCCAACAGGTTTAGTCTTCGCCCGAAATTTGTCAGGGATGTCATACAGTGGTGGGGTGACAGGACCATGCGGTGTTCTGGAAACATTCAGAACTGCTGTGGTACATGCCAGAGAGCTGGGAGGATGCTTGAGGTGCCCTCCAAGCACCTTGACACACGGGCTCTGCTCCCATGCCTGCACCAACCACCCAATACGGAGTCACTCCACTCTCCTGCCCAGCTTGCCCATTTGTAAGATACAGCTGCTTTTGTAAAGCCCTTTGTGATAGAGATGAAGAGCTAACAGGTCCTGTAGCCTAGATGCTGCAAGACCACAGCTACTTCTTACAGTAACGGAGCATTACAAAGGGAAATACAGTCTTATCAGCACCAAGCAGTACTCCCAACATAGCAATGCTGTTTGCTGCAGGCCTCCAGAAGACCTGATTCTAGTGCCACTGATTGTTCTGCAAGAGGGAAGGTGGCTTTGCCTGGAGAAAGGCTGATTGGCAGAAAAAAAAAAAAAAAAAACAAAACAGCCTTGAATTTATTATTCATGCTCCTTTGCTGAAGGAGATCTGTTAGAGCCACTGCTGTATGTCCATGTGATGTTGTTATGTACAGAGGGGTGGGAAACGCCTTTTAAACTTGGGAGATGCCACAGGTTCAGCATTGGTGCAAATTGGCTGATCCATGGCTGGTAAGGACCGCAAGGAGCAGCAGCCATGGCTGGCAGCTGAGATGGTGCATAGGAGTGGCACAAGGGGAGGTGATGCTTGCCAGCTGTCCACATAGAAGCTTAGGGCTACAGCCAGGAATGGGACTTGGACTTTCTTTCCCAGAGCACTGACTGCCCCACTGATCGAGCAGCAAGTGGCTTACAGCAACAGAGATGCCCCTGAGTCCTGTCAGAAAGGCAGGAGTAGCTGAGGAAAAGTCCTCCCTCCCCAGGCTGCCGAGATGATACATGTCCTTCCAAATAACAAACTTTCCTCCCTCCTTTCTCCCCAGCTTCTGCCTCTTCTAGCCTCAGGGGGACTCCGGAGGTGGCCCTGGGTGGCATACAGCACCAGAGAAGAGAACAGTGCAAGGCCTGTTGGCCGATACCCAGTGCCCAATAAGAAGGACATGCCGTATGACATCGTGGAGCTCATGGAGGAAGTGGAACTGAAGGTAAAGGAGTTCTGCTGCAAGACTGTCAGTGGAAAGGCTCCGAAGTCCAAGTAGGTCATATACTCTAAGAGAGCCGTTCTGGTCTGTTAAGTCTAACACAAACCTGAAGGGAGACTGAGGTGAGCGGCGCTTCTTGCAAAGCTCCGTCCCTTCTACAGGATGGAGATTTTACTGGAAATCCTGCAGTGTGCTGACAGGATTGTAAGTCTGCCTGATTCCATGAAACTAGTGGGTTGTTTTGGATGGCATCTTGTGCATGGGGTTAGCTGGAATACTGACATGTATTTGTTCTCTGGGAGAGCATCTGTGTTTACTTGAGGCACGATTATGAGTATTTTTAACACTTAATGGAGAAAAAACGGGGGAGAAGCTGTTTTAATGGCAGTATTAAAAGGCTCGGGGTATTTCTGCTTTTGAGCTTTGATGTTTTTTCTCCAAAGTCAAACGGGCTGCGCAGTGGCAGAACACTAAGCCTAATTCAGAACTGTGTATAAGGGGAGAAAGAAGGTATTGAAAAAGAGTTTCTTTCCCTGCTGCTGTGGAGAAGGAATGTCACACAGTCCTTCCTGATGGCTGAAACACTCTATCAGCCACAACCCTGTGGAGACTTATCTCTTCCAAGAGCTTCCTCTGAGAGGAGTGCCAGTCCAGCCCTCCCTATCCTTCCTGCTGGCCCATTGAGTCTGTGATCTGCTACCATGGCAGTAGCCCCAGTGCAGTTTGTATAATAATGAAAGGATTCAGCAGTCTTTACGGTAAATATGATGTACAGAGGAAGAGTCAGCTCAGATTTCACATGCTGTGATGCAGACCCCTGTGTGTCAGTGCACTGAAGGGGTCAGCAAAGACCTACATATAGGATCCAATCAACCTAGCACACTTGGATATCCAAACAGTGCTGCCAGAGTTGTCAGAGGTTCCTAAGTAAACTAAGGGGTTGTGGATGAAGAGGGAAGAGCCTTCTCTTGGTTAGCTAGCAGTAGAGAGGTGGGTGAGACAGGAGGAAGGCACAGGCAATTGTGTGGCAGTGGAGGGAGGTTGCCAGAGGGGTCTATGAAGCCTGGGCTACTCTCTTTTTCTATAAACACGCTGAAGAACAGCAGACAGTAAAGCGATGGAGCCTGTGGGTAGTTGCCAGAATCACAGTGAACCCACCTGTTTAGAACAGACACTGAGGCTGAACCCCTGCTGATGAATGCTGACTGCTGGAACGCAGGCATGCATGGGTGCTGCCTGGGATGAGCCTGCATGTGAGAGTCAGCAAGTCATTCTCTGGGAAAGGCAGCCTTGCACACCACCACAGAGGTGGATTGGGCATGGGAAGAGAAGTAGAGCAGCATCATTGAGCCAGCATATACATCCACTGTGTGCTGGCACCTCAAATGGTGTGCTATTTGGATAGGGCCAGCCTTTGTCCTGGTTTCAGCTGGGATAGGACTGATTTTTTTCTTCCTGTAGCTAGAATGGTGCTGTGTTTTGGATTCAGTATGGGATTTGGTATGAGAAGAATGTTGATAATACACTGATGGTTTTAGTTATTGCTAAGAAATCCAAGACTTTTCAACTTTCCATGTCCTGCTAGTGTGCAGGTACACAAGAAGCTGGGAGGGAACATTGTCAGAGCAACAGACCCAAATTGGCCAATGGCATATTCCATATCATATAATGTCATGCTCAGTATATAGAGGAGGTTTGCTGGAAAGCTCACTCTCTGTTCTGGGATTGCAGTTTTGGTATTTTCTTTCCTCTGGGATCACTAGCCAGGAACAGGCTGGGCATTGGTTGATGGTTGGTGAGCAATTGCATTGTACATTACTCATTTGTATATTCTATTATTACTCTTACTATTACCATTATTATTTTAATTTTATTTTATTTCGATCATTAAATTGTTTTTGTCTCAACCTATAAGGCTCCTTACCTTTAACTCTCCCGATTCTCACCCTCATCCCCCAGGGCAGGGGAGGATGAGTGAGCAGCTGTGTGGTGTTTGTCTACTGGCTGAGTTTAAACCACAACACCCTGTCTTGTGTCCTGTAAGCTCAGAGGAAGAGGAGAGCTATAGAAGGTGTAGGATAGTCAAATGGGCATAGCAGGGTCTGTGCCAGGAGACCGCAAGTGGATGCAGCCAGCCTCTCTGGAAAGGAGCTCACTGATGTGACTGTGGTCGTTACTGTTGTGGCTGAAGTGAGCAGGGCTGTTAGCCGTACTGTGAAACTGCAGCAACATCTAATTAAAAACCAGGTATACATATTCAGTCATATGTATAAATGGGCTCAAAGGGCAATTGAATAGGTCTGTGGAGATTCCCCAGCACTGCTGTGCTAACAAATTATTCTCTAAGTGTAGTATATTTATGTTGCCCTCTGTGCTCTCGGTTAAGTTACAGTTCTTGACTTGTTTTTCTTTTTCCTTGAACAGACTGGATTTCTGCCCAATGTGTTCAAAGCCATGTCTCACCGACCTGCTGAATTCAGAGCTTTTTTTGCTTATTATAATGCCATTATGAACAAAGACACAGGTAAACCATACAACCACCTCCAAACTCCCCTTCCCTTTGTAGATGTGAAAACTTGCTAGAAGCGACGTTTCTGACATCCTCAGATGTATTGCCTCACCGTGCCTTCTCTCAGCCTGTAATAACAGCTGGCAGAGGCTGGAACTGCACAGCTGCTTCTGTCTTTGCTTGTATTGCATGCAGCTTCATACTCTTTAGCCTGTGGTTAAAAGCAGCTCTTGAGCCAAGCTCTGCTGCCTTGCTGCACCGTGCTCTGTGTCACAACAAAGAAAGGACAGGCTGCTGCCTTAGGGAATAGGAGCCAAGAGCTGAGTGTGCTGGAAGGGCGCAGGCAGAGTGGTTTCATGGGCAAGGCTGCAACCCCACACTACTGCAGGGCAAGCAGGACAGGTCTGGCAGTGGTGACCAGGGCCAGCCAAGAGTCCAGATTTCACAGGCAAGTCCATGGGGATGAGGCAGATCCAAGATCAAGCCCGAAAGTCGACCTGAGGGTCAGTCAGTTTCCAAACCAGCAGCCAGGCACCACAGCCCTAACGTGGCTCAGGTGGGGGGTCACAGCCCTGGGCCCCCACATAAAACAACTCCCAAGGGAGGGGCAGGTCCATGTTGAGCCTGCTTGCAGCTCTTCCTTCGCAACAGTTCTTGGCCCATGATCAGCACGCAAAATTGGTGTGAGGGAGGCTGTGCCCTCCAGCACCTGACGTGCTGCGCTGGAGACTTTGAACCCAGGGGTGTCTGTGCCCTGCAGCAGCAGGGAGAGGAACAAAGTGCTTGCTGTGGTCTGGGATGCCTGCGCAGCCCCTGCCTCTGGGTGCCCCAGCGTGGAGATGAGGGAGGGCTGCAGCAGTGCTGCTGGGCAGGCCTGTAGGGAATTCTGCATGGCCCTCCAGCCTTCAAGGAAATGCAGTCTGAGGACTGCCTATTCCTCTCATACTTCCCGTGGTACAGGGCACCAAGGGGCCTGTTCTCATTGCTTTTGCTCTGAAGGTACATCAGTAAAACACAGATTTTTAAAATAAGCTGGTCTGTCTGGACTGCTCCTCCTGCTTATGGGAGATGAGGGCTCGGGAGGAGTGTCTCGGCAAGTTCTGGGGGCAGCGAGGAGTGCAGGCTTATGCCTCTCCCACATGGTACATGCAGTCACTGGGTGAAGCTTTCTGCTCTGCTTGTGCTAGTGGAGTGAAGCCATGCCCCTAACTTTATGACAGTCCACTTTTCCCTTCTCATTCCTATGCATCCTTTTTGTTTGAATTGAAGAATAGGCCTATTTTGGATCCCACCCTCTTCAGCATCTCTCTTGCAGTATCATGATGTTGCCACCTTCTGGCACTGAACCAGAGCAAGAAGGCCTCTCCCCCTGAATCCTGTTCACTCAAGAGGTTTTAGTAGTGTCTTTCATGCTCTTAGAAGGCACTGATTTTATGGGAATATTTTCAAAGTCCAGTAAAGCAGTAGCTTTTGTCAGGAGCAGGAGGGAACCTGGCCTTCCTTGTGAAGTGTAGTTTCCAAAAACCCTGCTACTAATTATCTTAAAAAAGCCAAAGAGCATGAGTGCTGATATGCAGCCAGGTAAGTTCCTTGGATCCTATGCACAGTCCTGTTGTGAAGCTGTTTGTGCAAATGATTAGGATTGCTTATGATTATAACAAAGCACAGCCTTCTTTTTCACAGCTTCTTCAGAGCAGTCACAGGGATAGACACTCTGCAGAAGTTATGTTTTTTCTGTTTGGTGGTCACTGGAAGTTCTCAAAGCTTCTGTCATAGGGTACCTCATTGTTCCTTTTGTTTTTTTCTCTCTGCCTTCAAAAGCTGCCAATAGTATTTACTTGGTGAAACATGCTTAGCGGGTTATAGAACACTGCACTTTTCTGTAAAATCAGCAATAAAGCATCAGAGGAAGAACAGAGAAAGCCCTCCCTAGCCATTTGCCTCTGAGATGTACATGGAGAAGTACCAGCCGAGCTTCCTACTCGGTGAGCAAGTAATTTTGCTCCTCTGAGTTTTCCTGTTACGTAGAACTGTTTTCCTGTTGACCAAATCTCATGTCCCTCATCCAAATTATGTGCCTCATGAGCAGCTATCCAGGTAAATTGGTCATATGGATGATCACAGAATCACAGAATGGTTTGGGTTGGAATTGACCTTCAAAGATCATCTAGTCCAACACCTCACCTGCCATGGGCAGGGACATCTTCCACTAGATCAGGGTGCTCAAAGCCCTGTCCAACCTGACCTTGAACACTTCTGGGGTGGGACACCTACAACTTCTGTGGACAACCTGTCCCAGCAGTGTTTCACTACCCTCATCATAAAACATTTTCTCCGTATGTCCAATGTAAACCTACCGTCATTCAGTTTAACACCACTGCCCCTTGTCCTGCCACCTAGGAGCTGTGGTTGCAGTGTCTCCCTGCATGTTCTCTAGAGCTCTGTCTGCAGGCAGCCTGTACCCAGAGCGCTCCCCTCCCTGTCTCCCCAGTGATACTTTCCGTGGTGTCCATTTTTGATAGCAAAGTGTGCCAGATCTTTTGCTGTCCCTCTAGGGCGACTCAGCAAGGCAGACAAAGAGCTCATCATTGTGGCTACGAGTGTTGTGAATAGATGTCCCTACTGTGTGGTTGCACATGGAGCACTTCATCGGATACATTCCAAGCAGCCAGCACTGGCTGACCAGGTCAGTGGGATTACAACAGTGAGCACCCCACCTCCTTTGCATTGTCCTTTGGGTGGTGGGAATAGCCCTCTCTTGTCTGTTTTTTCACCTGAAGTTTTGGTATTAAGTCTGTGTGGTTCCCAGAAATCTTGACATGTCTGGGACCCTAGCTGGCTTAGTAAGTCTACTGGTGAGCTCTCAGACCAGTAGCCAGTGGGGGTAGGACCTCGAGGTGGGGGGGTTGTTGGAGAATGGCTCAGAGACAAGGGTCCTGAGCCCACCGAGCAATTGTACGATCAGAGCCTGTTCTAGGGGCTGATGCTGCCTCGCTGATGCTGGGCCTCACTAGGGTTTGCCTGCAGCTGCTGATACATGAAGAATGTCAAGGACGCTTCGGCCTTGTGTACCGTGGTGTGTCGAAAACAGGTTGAGAGGAATTGGGAATAGTGGTTTGAGAAACCCAGTGTTATGGTAACGGTGGTCTGAGAAACATTGTGTTATGGTACTGTTGTGTATCAAAAACAAGTCAAGAGGAATTAGAAATAGTAACATGAGAAACTTAGTGTTATGAGAAGCTTGTGCTGTTAGCTAACTGCAAGTAGGTGGACCGTGTGAATACGACCTTTAGAACTTAAGCCAATCAGCTAGTGACTAGTAGGCATAATAATTATCATTGTCTGTATAAATGTATGTACCCTGGGCCAATAAACACACACGTAGATTGATGCTCTATCCCCCACACTGAACCCGTCTCGGCGTGTCGTTCGTCCGCGGCTCCGCAAGATGGCGCCCGAACAGGGACCTGCATAGAAGAAGAACACGGACGAAGCGGCAGACCTGGAGAAAAGAGCAACGACCGAGGAATTCGAGAACGGACCCGGAGAAACACCAAATACAGCAGCGTCTGGGGTCCACGAGCTGAGACGGACAGGCGCCGGCCCCGGCAGCCCCGGGAGAGCACGCGGAGAGAGGCTGGCTGAGGCGGCCCCGAGAGCGGAGGCGGAGAGGTGCGGGAACAGACGTGGTAAGGAGCCGACTGTGGCAGCCCCGGGAGTGGACGTGAAGGGACGCTAGAAGCGAACGCAGAGTGGCCCCGGGGGCGGAAGTGGGGTGGCGCCGGAAGAGACGCGGAAAGGCGCTGCACACAGCAGCGGCAGAAACGAACGCGGGGAAACATCAGATACAGCAGCACCTAGCCGATCAAGAACGATCGGACAGTGGGCCTCCGATGGGTCGTTCCGAGGACCTGAACCGAGATAGAGGGTCGCTCTCTGCAAGGGCTGCTGGCAAGAGCTGCAACTGGTGCCTTAGTCACGGAGCATCAGCAACATATCAAAGTAAGGGGGTATTTTTTGTGCCTTAATCAGGGAGCACAGGCCGGCGGGAGTATTTTTGTGCCTTATCCAGGGAGCACAGGACCGGAGGTGCCTTAATCAAGGAGCACCAGGTTGACAATATGGAACAGGAGGTAGCCCTGGATTTATTACAGCGCTTTTTAGAAAAGCGGGGAGTGGATTGTATAAAATCACTTGCAGGTTTAACAGCAATAGGACGGGTCAAAGGATGTTTTCAAGATCCTAATTCTCTTTTTGATGTCGAGGAGTGGAGACTATTAGGTGATATTTTGTGGGATATGGTAATTGACGAGGATAAAGCTGCAAGGAAAATGATGAAACCGTGGCGGGAGGTAGTGAGTAATATTAAGCGGTATCAGCTTGAAAAGAACCTTGCAGCTGTGGCAACTACAAAGTGTGGGGGGGGGAAAGTTCCACCGTTACCCCAGAAAGTGATGCATCCGGACCTATGCTCTTTGACAGTGATCATATTCCTGCACCATCCACAGCAGTGCTGGTTTCAGTTAACACAGGTAGGGGCAGTCCGGGGGCCAGCCCCCCCCAGTGCCCTTACAGCCATGCCCCCCCCCCCCCCCCACCTCGGAGGCGGAGGGGCAGAGGGACGATGGCCCCTCGCTAATATTTAGCCAACAGGGGTGGCGCGCAGTAGGTGATTTATTGTGGGACGAGACCATCACTGGAGGCAATAAAGGCAGTGAAGCACGACAGCAAGGGCTGGTCTGGCGAACGCCCGTAAAAGCCCTGAGGGAGATGCCAGCAGAACAGAAAGTAGCTGCTGCTGCCATGGCGGCTGTCGGCGCTGTACCATCCCCGCCGGTCCCTGCTGAAACCAACCGCCCGTCCCGATCAGCCACCTTCTTCGGGGTTAATCAGCAGCTCCGCTCTATTAAGGGCACGGCACCAAGTGTTCCTGTTTGCTCCACCGCGCAAGAAGCGGCAGAGAAATCAGGCGGCGCGGGGGGACAGGGGGGAGCGGCTGCCGCCCGAACCTCTGCCCCCCCCCCCCCGCCCTTCGGATGGTTCCGCCCCTGACGGCGCGTCAGCGTCTGAGTCGGAGAGAAAAACGGCGGCTGTGTCCGAATTAAAGCAGCAGGGTCACACACCGGTAAGGGACAGGGACAGAGTCCGAGAGCTTGACAGAAAATTACAGAAGTTGAGCTACGGAACAGAACTCTGCATTTACAATGACAAGAAGAGGAAGCGCTGCCGGCAGCCCCCCCACACCCACTCCCGTCACCCTCACCAGAACCAGCTCCGCTTTTAGCTCAGCCCCGATGGAGTGGGGTGATTCGGGGTGCCTTGTTAGAAGGGGACTGGCATGCTGCTGGGGCTTTGGCCTGCCCGGTAGTGACAACGGATGGGGGACACCTGGGAACACAACACCACAAGATTCTCCTCGGGGGGTCTGGAGACTCCTTACAAACTTTAGAACTCTGAACTGTCATTGTATGTTGTTCAACATCAACACTGGTATCAAAAACTTGTTCATGTAGTATCAGGTTCATTGTATGTTGTGGGTTCATTGCAATGTTTAGAACATAGCATGGTGAAACCTGTATTAAATTCTGTGTGGCATACTCTTGTTACAATTGCTGACACTTTTAAAACTGTAAGGGTGGTTTTCTTGCTACATAAGACTGCATAAGACTGGAACATGGACTGACAGAATGGTTACAAAACTTGGGAATTTGGAAAATGGACTGACAGAATGGTTATAAATCTACAAAACTTGGAAATTACTGGGTGGCTGAAAGCTTTGTTGATGCATGGACTGGTAATGCTGATTGTCATTATGATTGTCATGATGGTATTGGGGTCTGTGTGGAAATGCTTTATGAATGCTATGATTCAAATGTTAAAAGGAGTCTGGATTGTCCAAAAAGAAAAAGGGGGAAAACCTGGTAGGAATGTTTTTTGGGGGAATCAGGGTCATGCACTGATCCTACAGGGTTTGGACAATCCAGGCTGGGTCTCTGAGCAGAAAACTGCCACGTGGTAATCCTGCCCTTGCGGTCACCTGGAAGGGCAAGAATGAGGAATTCAAGCTAGTGCTTCCTTCCTGTTTGAATGCCTGGATACACTAACTGCAAAGTAGATTTAGTTTGTTCATGCGTGCTAACGATGCAGACCTATCACAGCACTCCCGGGTGCATGATAAGTGCCTGTAGCCAGTAGATTGTAAGCCTGCATGCTTAAGTTGTGCCTTGTCATGTATTAAGAAAATCTTTGAACGAACGTTAGGGCAGGCTCTGCTCATACAAAAAGAAAAAGGGGGAATTGTTGGAGAATGGCTCAGAGACAAGGGTCCTGAGCCCACTGAGCAATTGTACAATCAGAGCCTGTTCTAAGGGCTGATGCTGCCTCGCTGATGCTGGGCCTCACTAGGGTTTGCTTGCAGCTGCTGATACATGAAGAATGTCAAGGACGCTTCGGCCTTGTGTACCGTGGTGTGTCGAAAACAGGAATTAGAAATAATGGCATGAGAAACTTAGTGTTATGAGAAGCTTGTGCTGCTAGCTAACTGCAAGTAGGTGGACCGTGCGAATACGACCTTTAGAGCTTAAGCCAATCAGCTAGTGACTAGTAGGCATAATAATTATCATTGTCTGTATAAATATATGTACCCTAGACCAATAAACACACACGTAGATTGATGCTCGTCCACGGCTCCGCAGGGGGTCTGTGTATCCTCATCCACTTTTCAAGCAAGATGCAGGGTGGAACGGTTGACCTGCAGAGCATTCATGTTGCTGCCCACATTCCTTGCTGTTTTAATCTGGTCTATGAAGGAACTTGCTACCGTTGGGGAGCTGCAGCACCCCGATGGCATTGGGTTCCGTTTCAAGAACTCCTCCATAGCCTCCTCAACAAAACTGCCACAGTCCCTGAGATAAGAAGGAAAGTAAAATAGGTATTTTGTCTGATGGTTCAGGTGCTGAGTAAGAGCCTGTGTACTGCCATCACTGGTTTGCGGAGCAGAGAAGGTGGTCAGCCAGCTTGACTGTTTGCCAGGCCCATCTGTGCTACCTCTGGTTTCTGTCTTCTCACAGGTCATTGTGAACTGGAAGCTGGCTGACCTGAGCGACAGGGACCTGGCAATGCTGGAGTTCGCTCTTGCAGTCTGTCGAGCTGATAACATCACCGAAGAGCATTTCCAGAAGCTGGAAAGGCATGGTTTTGACCGTGAGGATGCCTGGGACATAGGCATGATTTCTGCTTTTTTTGCCATGTCCAATCGCATCGCACATTATATTGACCTGCGCCCAAACAAGGAGTTCTACACGATGGGCAGGATGCCCCAGGGAGAGGAGGGCGCAGAGCACGCCTGACGCTGCTCCCGGACGCCTGCACGCCTGAAAGATAGATCAAGCTCTTAATTCTGACGCTAGCGTGGCTCGTTTCTGAATGCGTGACGGGTTAAAGGGCTGATGGCGGCCACGAGGGGTGGCGGGGCCGCCCTCCTCCCCACGGTTTGGCACCCCGGCGGAGCTTGCCGGCTCCCGCGGCGCTGCGCTGCTGTCGGCGGCGGGGCGAGCGCAGCCTCGGTCGCGGCGCTGCTGTCGCGACGTTTGCCGCTCTGCCTTGCGGCCCCGCGCTCTCCCGTACCCCACCGTCGCGGCCGGCGGGACCCCAGGGGGTCGCGGCTCCCCGCGCCGGGGGAGCGGGGCGGGGCGGCCCGACCGGGCGGGGCGGCCCGACCGGGGGGTGCGATCACGTGCCTCGGTCCGGCCGCCGCGGGCGGGGACGCGCAGGCGCGGTGCGCAGGGCAGGCGGAGGCGCGGCCTGGCGGTGCCCACGCCCGGCGCGCTGAGAGCGCCAAGGCGGAGGAGGGATCCCCCGGGGCGGGCGCTGGCTTCGCGGCTCCCGGTCCCGGTCCCGGTTCGCCGGCCGGCATGGAGCCGTCACTGCCTCCCGCCTGCTCGCGGGCCGCGCCGGGGAGCGGCCTGTTCGGGTGGCTGCGCGGGCGCTGCCTGGGCCGCAGCGCCGCCGTGGACCCGGCGCGGGACACTTTCCGCGCCATGACTGGGCTGTACGGCTCCATCCAGCCCGCCGACTCCATGTACCTCAGCACCCGCACGCACGGCGCCGTCTTCAACCTCGAGTACTCGCCCGACGGGTAGGGGCTGCGCGGGGACGCCCGGTGCCCCGCGGGCTGCCTCGGGGGGGCGGGAGGGGAGCCCGCGGGGCCGGCGCCGGGACGGCGGCCCGCTGCTGCCCGCTGCGACGCGCCTGGCTCGGCCGTGGGCCGCAGGAGCCGGGTCGCCCGGGTGCCAGAAAAGGCTGGTGGCTCGCCGCCCTCCGCTCGGGGCACCCCCGTAGTACCGGTGCGGCTCGGCTGCAGGAGCGGCGGGGACAGGGCTGGGCGCCGCGGGCCCAGCCGCCAGGCTGCGGCGCGGGGCGAGCCCTCCGGCGGGGCTCCGGCTCCCGCTCCCGTCCGCTGCCTCGTGGTCAGCGGGCGCGCGTAGCGCAGGAGAGCGGTCCAGGAGCGGGGTGCCCTGCCCGGGCCGCGCTTCCCGCTTCCCGGCCGCGCTCTCGGCACCGCTGCGGCTCTTCCCGCCGCAGAAGGGGGGACGATGAACCGAGGAGCGGGATTGGGAACGCGGTGGGGGGACCGTTCCTTAAACTAGCAGTTCGCATCGGGTGTCCTCAGAGAGACTAAATTGCTGTTTGGAACGCGATGCATACTCATTGTGGGTTCTGTGAATTTTGCAGGGCTGCACTACCCAATGAGTTTAGAGGTGTCCTGCAGTACCCCTGTGTAACAGCGTAGAAAAAAAGCAAGTGGCAGTTGGAGTCGTTTAGAATTAAAGAAATTCTGGCACACCAGCTTAAAGCAGAACGAATTCAATTCAGAGATGTCTGCATATTTGTATATTACAGCATGCCTGTAGGTGTGGTTTTCTTGGCAGAAAGACTGTTTAACTTAGGGTAGTCTCAGCAGTGTTTTCAGTTTGCATAGTCAGAATTTAAATCTCTGTTACACTTGATAGCTAGTTAGCTTTTCTGTTTCCAGTGAGTCTTCATCAGAACAGAGTTCGGGTTTCTGTGAACTAATGATTTTGCCATGTTTGTGCTGTAGAACCAAGTTGCAACTCTTGATTTGTTCCTCCATTTTTTGAAGAGAACAGAGTTAAGATCCAGAAACTATCAAAACCATTCTCAGGTGACTGTAGCTGGAAAGCAGTTCCTTCCGTAGGAAATTCTGGGTGTAGGTTAGGACTTTGGCACTGTACCTCAGTTGCCCTAATACCAAATTAAACAGCCCAAGCCTTGCTCACTTCTGTGTGATTCTCTGCTGGTTAGGCTTAGCTTCGAGCAGTCACAGACCTGCCCTAACCCACACAGGCCAAGCCCATCCTGTGCAGTGGAGTCTTCTGGTCCCTCTGTAGCCACCCTCAAGGGAACTGACTGTGGTTAGTGGTGCTGGGTCCTGTTCCTTGCCCCCTCTGTCCGCTTCCGGCTCCTCAAAGTGCTGTTCTGGGGCCGCAGCAGGGATCTCGCCTTTGAGCAGAGTGTGTGCTGCAGTTTGGGTCTGGCCTGCCTGTGGGGAACCGCTCCCCAAGGGCTTCCTTTGTGGACTGAGGGTCACGGGGATGGGCTGTCCTCTTGTCGTAACACTGCTGTACTGGTCGGAGTCGTTGCAGTGCTGGGGAAACTTCCGAGCTTTCCAGGAGGTCAGCTTCACAATTATCAGGCCAAACTTCACTGTCATGTCATTGCACTGTCAGACCTTTTCAACATACGTGAACGCAGTAAATATCAATATCCTGGGAGAGTCTGGTGCAAAGATAGACAGCCTGTCCAAGATGTGGACAGTTGATGTTTTCTGTGCCTGTTGGGACCCCTGTGAACTCTCCACAGAGATCTCTCTGGTTTCATTCACAAATAATGTGTATTCTGGGCAATGTCTTTGATTATTTTTTTTTTCTTCAAGAAAAGCTGTAAGTGGATACACAGAGGTCTTCATGTAGGGCAGCAAAAGTTCTTTTTTTAAAGGGGTTAAAATACTTGAAATTGCAGTTCTTGGAATTTGTTTGGTTTTGGCAAGCAAATTAGGTAATACAGTAAGATACTAAATCTTGCTTCAGACTTTTCGGTGTCCTAAGCTTAGTAATGGTAGCCTGTTTTAGTGTCTGCTGTGAAATTAATCTCAAAAAATATGGATAATAATTAGCTATGTTCCCAGCCTGAGTCTCTGCTCATGCCCAATTTAGGCTGGTGCCAGTGCCTTGCTATTGCTACCTTTGACCATTGCTTCCATAACAGCAATACTCCATTTAGAAAATAACACCTTTTGTCACAGAATCCTTTTCTTTGTAGTTAATAGCATGTCATGTCTGATAGCAGTTCCGTGACTTTGTGCTATATTGAAAAATAAAACTTTAAAATCTAAACTTTGTAAGGTTTTATTGAAAAAAAGACTCAGGTGCAGAAAGGCTAGATAGTTTAAATAAACCTTTGATTCGGTCTTACTTCTGTCTTTAGCATTTACTGGCTGTTCTGATGTGGAAAAATGCAGGCAGTCAGCAGAGCTGCTTTAGTAGTCAGATTATTGGGGGAGGGTGCTATCATTTAGAGTTTGGTTTAAAATTCTGATCCTGAATACGCAGTCTGAGTGTCATCTTTATACTGCTTTTGAGTGGATGCCAAACTAAGTAGCCATTGAAGTCAGTGTTATGGAAGATGAGAAAGTGGTATGTGTACCTTTACCCTGAAGAGGTTGGTGGTTGCGTTTCAGCACTGTCTGCCTGTTACGAAGTGGTGGTGTAGCAGGGGTAGCATCTATAAAAGTCTTAGGGGAATATTGTCGTAGTTGATAAGGGAGGGAGTTTGGAGGCATTGTTACCATATGTTGTCCTCCTGAATGAGGAGGGTTAGTGCAGTGACCGAGCAAAAGTTAACCAAAGGTATCTCACCGGTAGTTGTTTCACACGTATGAGCAGTCTGCGCTTCCTTTCTCAGTACAGCCTGTCAGACCCTTGTGTTTTACAGAGCTTTTCAGCTGGTCATCTGACACCCTGAACGGCAAGCAACAGTGTCTTGGAACCCCTCAAAGAGTGTTGCCAATGAATGGACAGAGGGATACCATGACCTGGGCACAGTCATATGGGAAATCTGCAGTAGAATTTCGTAATAGATGCCATTCCACTTACTCTTGGGTGCTGTTGTCTTTTTTTTTTTTCCCCCTCTTTCCTGTGAAATTAAACAAATATTTTCATGTGAACAAAGCAGCAGGCTTCATGCCAGAGCTTGTTTCTTCTTTTTTCCCAGATGGGAACCACTGAGTTCATGTACCACACTTCAGTGATGGGACAGATCACCCGCAAGTAACTTCTAAAAAAACCCACTGATGTAAATACACTTAATGATGTGATATAAATAATGCCATCGCTGAATCTGTGATGTATCTAGGCATTATAAAGCAACTACCTTGCATGTTAAAAAAAAAAAAAGAGATCACATAGTCTGTCCAGTGAATGCACCAGCTGTGCATGCATTGTGCCACCAGCCAGGCAGGAGAAGAGTTGTTCTCTCAAAAAGGAGTTAGAGAAGTTAGCTTCTCCAGAATAAAACAACATGCTATTTTCTTCGACATGTTCTGTGTATTTGGTGCTTCAGCACAGGCATCTGCAAGAAGGCAATAAAAAAAATCAACACTGCTTCATATTCTATGCAATGCAAACAGAAAGCCAAGCTAAGTAATGAGGATAGGCAATGCAGGTTAGCTGGATGCACTCAGGTGTCATTTCTTCTACTGAATACAAATGTTTCTGCTTTACTGTGCTCCCCTGCAGATCAGTGTTGACTGTTGCTTGTGAACAGACTGAAGTTCTGCTTTTTGACCCAATATCTTCAAGACACATCCAAACTCTCTCTGAAGCTCATGAAGACTGTGTAAATAATATCAGGTAGGTCAGAAGGAATATCTTGTCCATTGCTTTTTGATGGAGACTGTTGGGACTGTCCAGATGGTACAAAACCTTCCTGGATGCAGGAGGTCTGCGTGGCTCCTCCTGGCTCCACAGCTGCAGCAAGCATTGCACCTGGGACACTGTGGAGCTGGACAGGCTCCAAAGCAAAAGATAGGCAAAGGAAAAGTAAGGATCTAGGGAAACTTGAAAACAGTCACAATGTTCAGATTGAAATCCAGTATACATGTTTCCAAGATAGCAATATTGTGTGTAGTGTAAGCCGTGTGGTTAGTAAAGCAAACCATACATTGAACAGTTTATCCGCTGGATTAAATCTTATCAGAAAAGCACCGTTTTATGTCCTGTGTAAAACCATTGGGCCAGCGTTTCAGTGTCCTTGGTGCAAACATGTGGTACACCTTAGGTGTCTGTGCAGAGCTGTGGCCATTCACTGAGTGGCAAGAGGTCTGGTTGGAAAGGGCTTCCGGGGATCCATGATCTGTGACAGCCTTCTTCTGGCAAGAGCAGGGCTTTGGGATGACACAACAGCACCTTGGTAAGCCTGATGCTAAGCTTTTCCAGCACGGGCAGTTCCAGCACTGCCTGTGTTGGGCTGGCTAGGCAGGGAAGTTCTGAAAGCAGGTCCCCATTGATCAACTCCTGTCTCAGGCTTTGTGACAAGTGCTGTGTTCTGCCTGTGCCAGTGGGGTCAAGATCCGGTGAAAGCTTTCAGGAGGGACTGACGACACTGGATGCCAGGCAACCATGAGTGGTACAGAGCCACGTCAGGTCTCGCAGAGTGGTTCAGGCATTGGCTAAAGGCAGCTGGGACACAAAGTGTTTCAGTTAAGCTGGCGGGATGTGCATGGTACAGAGCAGCTAGGTTTAAAACCAGTAGGGGGCTTCCAGTAGGAATAACAAAACATGATCTTTATTTCAGAAACCTCCTTTGAGTGACGAGAGCATATGTCTGTGGTTGGGAAGAGAGAAAAAATTACAGGAGAAGAACGAGGGTCAATATGTGGGTGGAAATAAAGAGAGTAAAGAAGAGCATGTGTTTAATTAGTTACGAGCTGGTAGGACCTTGTGTGGTCTAAAGCGAAGATGGAATTGCTGTGCCTTCTGGTGCTGCCTTTCCATAGTAGTGAAAGGATCTGGCAAAAATGGGGAAGATGAAAGGCAGAAATTACAAACAACATGGGCTAGCAGACCTCTGTTGCAGGGACTGCCAAGCCAGTCAGTGCGAATATCTTGCCAGTGGCTTAAAAGCTGACCAGTCCTAGGGTGTTTGTCTTATAAAGACTTGGTAAGTTTAAAGATGAGTATTGTCCAGATGGGTAAGTGATTTAGTTACCACAGGGATTCTGTGAGCATTTGTTCCACTGGTGGTTTGGTAGTTGTGTGATCTTTACATGATTCATTAAAAAAAAAAAAAAGACAACAAAAACCCCTTCTGTTACACTTCTGAAGGTTTACTGGTTCACTACTACAGACGTACTGCTGGTTCATATCCCAACAGTACTGTTTTTTAATGGAACTGTTTTATTGGCAAATATTTTGCTTTATGTTAACTTTTTTGTGTTAGCTTAAATTCCTGATTAAGAATATTTAAATTAGAAAAGGCACTAAGCAGCCATAGTATTTTTCTCCCATTTTCAGGTTTCTAGATAATCGACTGTTTGCAACTTGTTCTGATGACACTACAATAGCACTTTGGGATCTGAGAAAGCTGAACACAAAAGTGTGCACTTTACATGGTCACACCAGCTGGGTTAAGAATATTGAGTATGATACTAATACGAGATTACTAGTAACATCAGGGTTTGATGGAAATGTGATCATCTGGGACACAAACAGGTATGTGGCTGTGTTTATGCTGTTGTGTCTCTAGAACACACAAGAATAGGTTCTTCTGTACAGGACGGAAAACATACTTCCTTGAATGGTGCTATAATGCGTTCTTAAATACTGTGATTAGTTAATAGTCCTTATCAAGAACTTGCATCACCTTTATATGGTAATAGTCCAGTAGCTAAAAAGAGACCTTTTCTTGCTGATGTGCCAAATTGTAGTTCTTTTTGAAAAAGTTCTGTCTCCACTCTTGTGGTAGTATGAAAATGTGACTTATGCCTTTTCATTAAGATCTGATTTAAGTAGGATAAAGACAGTACTCAAAGTTTTAATATGAACAAGGATTCTTAACACATCTTGGACTCTTGGACATAATTAGGGACTTGAGTTGAAGCTAATTGCAGCTATTTATTCTTTTTTTTTTTTTTTTTTTTGCTGTCCAGGTGCACAGAAGATGGATGTCCCCACAAGAAGTTTTTTCACACCCGTTTTCTTATGAGAATGAGGCTGACACCAGATTGTTCCAAAATGTTGATCTCAACCTCCTCTGGATATCTTCTGATTTTGCATGACCTTGACCTAAACAAATCTTTAGAGGTTGGCAGCTACCCAATTTTAAGAGCTAGGAGGACTACAGCAAGTTCAGGTGAGTGCTTGTGGGAAAGTGTATGTTAGCTTCTGTGTTAAGAGATGTTTTATGGGATACTGAGCTAGCAAAAGAAGGTGGAGATGGGGTCTGAAGGATTCAGCTGAGGAACTCTTTGGCATGGTAGCTGTTCTGTTGTTCAGGGATCACATCCATCTGTACCACTGAGTGGTATGTTCTGACTCGGGTGAAGTGTCTAGGGTGATTTTTGGTATCAAGACTTCAGCACTACAGGATATAATGGCTGTGCAATTTTGTCACCTTGAGCTGGCAGTCTCTAGCTTTATCAACTGTCCTTCGACCTGTAATAAAAGAAATGTAACCCAAGTTTAGTGGACTGACTGCATGTGAGATCCATCCACTACTGATGACTGTTGTGTAGTGGTGTAGTTGATCTTGACAGCAGACCTGGAAGAATCACATGCTCTGAAATGTCACTGCTTGCTTCTTCCTACTTTGCAGCAGTAACAGAGCAAGAACAGAAACTGCCATTTGGGGTGCTGAGATAGAAGGGGAGTGTCTGTCCCATCCCACTCTGTGACCTAGGGTGAGGTTGTTTCTAATTGTCTGTGCAGTACAAGGAGTGATGACAATCACCCAAAAAAGTTTCTTCAAATAGCAAGTTTTTACTTGAAATTTGACAGTGGCACAACGAATAGCGGCTAGACAAAAACTTGAATAACAGCCAGAATTTGCAAATATTATGAAAACAGTGGCTGAGGCAGAACTTACAGCATACACTGACAAACCATAAATACACCAACAAGTTGTACAACATGTAACATATACCAACAAGCCTTAAATCTTATAACATGTACCAAAAAGCCATATATACAGAAAATAGAGAGTGGGAGAGAAGAGGAGAAAGGGGGGTGGGGTGAAGGACAAGCAGGAGGGAGAGAATGAATGAATGAATAAATAAATCAGGGTCAGGGGAGAGAGAGAGAGAGAGATACTCCAGCAGTCCTGGTTCCAGTGGTGGTCCAGCTAGCCTAGAGGTCCAGTTCCAGAGGGGAGCCACATGGGGCTTCAATTTGCATCCTTTTAAAATCCCTTGCCCCTCCTCCAGGTGGGTACTTGGATTCATTAAGCTAATTATGGGTCATGCACATGTGAGAAACAAGCCCACGTATATATAAAAAAGTTTTATTGGGGACAAAGTCAGTGGAGCAAAGAATACAGCACTGGGCGAAATGGTGCGCCCTGGAGCCAAAAGGGGCTCCCTTTTATTGTATAAATGGTTACATATTCATCTACCCTAATACATATGCATCACTACTTCTAAGGATAGGGAGGGAATATTACAATTAGTTCCGAGAAATCATTAACATATCCCCCCACCCCAAATTCCTCCCGTTGCGCTTGCGCAGTGCTCCCTGGTGGTCGTGGGCAGGGGTCTGCAGGTGAAGGCCCGTAGTCTTCTTCACTGTGTTCGCCAGTTGACCCTTACTTCTGTGCAAACTCAGTCCTGTGGTCACGTACATCTTGTCCTTCAAGTCTGGTCTGGTCTGGTTTGTTGCTAATTTGCAGCTTCTTTATCCATGTTTCTTTGCACCTGCCACTACAAGGCCAAACCGTCTCCAATAAGATTATTTATGAGTTCCTTGTCCTACAGTTATTCCAACTATTCCTCAAAAGATCAGTGTTTGTTCTGCAGCACAATTGTTAAATGATTAAAACATCTTAAATTGATCTTAATAATTCTATTCCACAAATATATATTTTCTAATAATCTTAGTTTGTGGGTATCACTGTTAGAGTGGTCTGGGGAAGAGCTGATACCCTAGCTTCCAGTAGTGACAGAACATAAGAGGGAAGGAGGCAGCTTGCCTCTTATTCTCAGTAGAGTTTGTTGTGCTGCCAGTTTATTTGTATGAGGCACAATCAAGGCGGTACTTTTACACTATAATCTGAGCTTTGAAAAGTGTTTTCTTAACAAGATGCCTTGCCCTTACACTTACCCTTTACTTAACATTTCTAAGGAGGGTTACAGTGAGGGACATGCATGGTAAGTGGTCTGTGCTTAGCTGTTATGTTCACATGCCTGATGCTGTTTGCAGACATAACGTCATCAGGTTCGTCTGGTCCTCGAGCTGTTGGTTCACCATGTCACCAGAATGATTCAGGTCCACTGTCTGAGAAACAGATGTCACGCTCCTCCCAGCGAGAAGGTAGGAAAAGATTTTTAAAAACTAAAGAATAAATTGTGGACTTTGACTCATTGTACCCAGAAGAGGCCAGAATATAATAGTTAAAAACTGCAGGTTTTGTCTCTGATCTTTAAAACAATAGTGTTGCTATGACTTCTATCAAACCAATAAAATACTGCACACCGAAGTCTGGGGATCTAATTATTTTTTTCCAATAAATCTGACAACAGCAATAAGTTCTTTATTTTGTATTAGTATGTTATTGTTGGTAGGTAGAGGTGCTCCCTTTTCCTTGTGCTTTTTCCTCAAAGTTTGTGTGAATGACCTTTAGGGGGGGAAAAAACAACAACAAAAACAAACAAACAAAAAAAAAACCACCAAACAAAAAAACTAACCAAACAAACACAAAAAACCAACCAACCAACCAAACAAAACCCAACAAAACAACAAAAACCTCACAAAAAATAACAGAGCAGAACATAGATATGCTTCGTTTTTCCTTAATGATGGGAAGATATATCTGCAGTTTCTCCATGAGGAGTCAATAGCATGGAAAAAAATACGCAAACAGGCCTTAAATGTGAACAGAATGTTTTGTGAAGTTCTGATTACTAAGTCCTACCTAACTACAGAGCTATGAAAAATGATGATCCTGTGATTAGCAGGCTTCCTCTGAATCTAGGATAGACTTTCTCGGAGAGTCAGCTTGAACTTGGCAAATTGGTAAATACTTTGTGAATCACATGCAATTTAAAAGAACTATAATGTTAAATTTTAACTGCTCATGTTTGGGAGATCTTCAGAGATACTTATGAAAGGAGGAGGCTTATCTGGATGCCAGGGCATGATTTACCTGTGGAAAGCTTTCAAGGGCTGTGGGGGAGAAGAGAGGCAAGCTGCATGAAGCTGAGCAGACTTTGGAAAGAATTTGGAAAGGAAATCATACAAGTTTGAGAACCAGCAGTCCTTACAAAAAAACCCAAAACAATTCACTCTTTAAACTTTGTGTTAATGATAATGAAGAGCATGTGTGGTAAGTTAACTCTGACTTAGTTCACAATACGAGGTGATTTAATGCAGGTCTTGGAAGGCAAATTTCAAGAAATAAGCTATTTGAAATCGGGACTGAGCCCATTGCTCTTAGCTTCAGTTTTTCATATATCCTCTCTTTTGATTTATCCTTTCATAAAGGTGCAGTCTTTTGTAGCAGTCAGATGCAAGTGTCACATGTTTGACCTCCTTTTCAGCAGCAGACTGATGAGAGAGGTGAAGATCAATGTATAGACTTCATTGAGACTTACAGTTGACTTTCTGTTCTAGGTGGATCGCCTAGAAATAGTTTGGAGGTCTTAACACCAGAGGTTCCTGGAGAAAGAGATCGAGGCAATTGCATTACATCGCTACAGCTACATCCAAAAGGGTGGGCTACGCTTCTTCGGTGCTCAAGTAATACAGACGACCAGGAGGTAAAACAAATGTTTTTGGCTTTTTTTTTTTTTTTTTTATTATGTTGTGTAAGATGTTTTGATCATAAAACTATATTGAAATTTCCTTATTTTGGGGTAAATTTGCATTAAGTTAGTTATTTCTGCTTACAAATGCATTAGTTTTACACTAAGATTATGAAATAATTTTTTTTAATGACCTCATATGACTTTGTATCCCACATTCAGTACCCCTGTTGCCCAGATTTTTCACAGAATACATTTTCTAGTTTATCGCTCTTAGAAGTTTTCGAACAGTAGTTGTGCTGACAAATACATGCCTTAAAAATATGTACCTGCCAAAATACAGGAGGCATGAACTTGGAAAAGACAGAGAAATAGAGTTGTGTACTGGTGAACTTGGTTTAAGTTAGGCACAGAAGCTCCTCAAGTTCAAGAAGTTCCTCAGGTGCCCTTGGGATGTTTTTTACCTCCATTGGTGCTCCAAGGATGAAGTGCTCCTGCTGTGCTGATGAATGCTTTCCAGAGGCTACTCTTATACTGCTGTGAAAAAACCTCATGGCATATTTCTTTATCTACTTAAAACTGCCACACTATAGGTCTGAATGTGATGAACTCCAGTCATGTTTATGTAATGTCAGAGTGCCTTGGTCTCAACTCCCATATTGAAACACTGCATCTAAAATTTGAAGGGGTTATCAATGATCTTCCTGGCAGATCCCATTTCAAGCCTTTACTTGAAGTGCTAAGTCATAAGACCAGCTACAGCTCATCTTCAACTTGCAGATTTTGCTCCCCTAAATACTTTAAAGAAGCAATGGCAGATTGTAAGGCCGGTGTTGGATCATGTTTCCCCAGATTTTTGTTTGTGAAGTGCACATAATAGTTGCCACATTGCACTGGGACCCTGTTTTAAGACAAACAGGAAGTCTGTAATGCACTCAGAAATAATGAAAAAACTTTTGTGGACTGTATACAGAAATCAAGAGCCTGCAGGTTGTGTTTGGGAGCGCTGGCTTTTGAAGTAGTAACTTGCAGGCTAATACAAATTCACTTAAAGCCCAGCCAGAGCCTTCAGAACACCTGGATTCTACCAGATGGCCCTTTCACAAACACTTTTTTTTCCTAGGGTTATTTCACAACTAGTGCTGTGACAGTTGTGCAGACCACTCTGTTTGCAAGACACAGAGGCTTTAATTTATTTGTTTTCCAAAAGCACAAATAACTCTTTGAATACTTGACTAATAAGGAACAGTCCAGTTAATTTGATAGCTGATGTAAATTTGGGTTGATTTGGTTTTGGGTTTGTTTGGGGTGGTTTTGGTTTTGGGTTTTTTCATTTAATGGTGTCGTGGTTTGAGCCCACAGGACAACTGAGCACCATGCAGCCATTCGCTCACCCCTTCTCCTGCAGGAGCGGCAAGGAGAAAATAAAGGCTCAGGAATCAAGATAAGGAGGGGCTGGCAGGGTGTGTCACCCGTTATGGTCAGGGGCAAAAGACATACTCCTTAGGGGAAGCAAAAAAGATCACTTCAGTTCAAACACTAACAATGTTAACACTTAAAGTGGAACGTTGGTAAGTGTCTGTGTGGGCTCCAACACAGGCTTCAGGTCGGGCTCTGCTCCATCGGTGACCTCCATGGGTGGCAGGGGGGCAGCCCTGCTGTCTCCCCACGGGATGCAGGGGTCTCTGCTCTGGCACACCTCCCCCATGCCCTTCTCCCTCCTTCCCTTCACTGACTTGAGTGTTCACATAGATGTCTTCCTCCTAACTCCTCCTCCCAAGTCCCAGCCCCCTCCCAGGTTCCCCTTTTTAAATCTGATCTCTCAGAGGCGCAGCTACTGTCCCTGATGGGCTCAGCCCTGGCCAGAGGTGGGTCCAACTTGGAGCTGGGGGAGCTTCAAGAAGCTTCTCACAGGGGCCACTGCAGTAGCCTCCTCTCCTGCTATCAAAAACTGTGCCACAGAAAGCCAGCACAAATTCTTGAGGGTTTTTTCTGAAGAAAGCCACTTTTTGTAATGGTAGCCTCTTACAGATGTGTAGAGGACTGAATGGAAGCATAGCAGATTTCTTACAGATTTTAATGCTGATTCTGTAACTTTATAATCAAACTGCAATACAACACAGAATTCTTTGAAAATGTAAATATTACATTGAGTTGATACTGATGATTGACCTAGTTATACTTTCTATAGTTCTAGTGCTGGCCTTACTTTCTTCTATTAATATTCATTAGTATTGTTCCCTTTTTGTTTATTTCAGTAGGATACATGGAACAGAACTAAGAACACTTATTTTGTCTTCTGGCTGAAATTGAATCTTTCAACGCAATATAAACTTTGTCATAGAGCTGATTTTGCATTTAGTTTGAGATTAGATACTTACATTACACATTAAAATCCATGGCTGTCTCAAGTAACAAGCTGGCTATAGAGCTGTTCATAGCATTCTTTCAAAATCTATTTCCCTCTTGTTTAAAGATTCCTTTCCTTTTGAAGTTAAGGGCACAAAATGCCAACGGTCAGTTGTAAATTACGGTAGACTGAGTTCTACTTTATTGTAGATTTAATTTAAATGTTTACTAATTTAGAGCAGATGTCTGGCCAAAGGATTAGGCTTTGCTCTTTCCAGATAAAAAGTAGATTTAAAAGATATCTAGCATCCATTTAATTGAAAAAGCAGCTTTGACGCTAGACAGCTGTTTTGCTTAGACAGTTCAAAGTGGAGGAGATGCCAGGGAACCGTCCTGTTTTCAGTGTTTCATAGCAGGTGCTTATCAAAGAATAGATAAGCAATAGCATTGGTCATTCCTGTGTTACTTACCATGCAGCGGGAGGGAATGAATATTTGCAGTACTTTACTTTTCTTTCAATGTTTCTTTCTCTGCCTCTCCCTTTAGTGGACTTGTGTCTATGAATTCCAGGAAGGAACCCCTGTGCGCCCCGTCTCACCTCGTTGTTCCCTGCGGTTGACTCATTGCATTGAAGAAGCCAATGTGGGCCGGGGTTACATCAAAGAACTTTGTTTCAGTCCTGATGGCCGAATGATTTCCTCCCCGCATGGCTTTGGGATCCGCTTGTTGGGGTTTGATGCACACTGCAGTGAACTTGTTGACTGTTTGCCCAAAGAAGCCAGTCCCCTGAAAGAAATCCGTTCCCTCTACTCTCATAATGATGTGGTACTGACAACCAAGTTTTCTCCAACACACTGTCAGATTGCCTCGGGGTGCCTTAGTGGACGTGTTTCTCTGTATCAGCCAAAGTTCTAGGCACATCTTGCATCAACAGGACTTTCAGATGTCTGTGGCATTTACTTCAGTTCAGTTGAAGTGTGTTCTTTCTGAAATCTCTAAATCCAGATTAGGTCATAGGTACTGTGATCTCTGAACACAACAGTGGAACAAGTTTCCAGCCCAGCACTGTACACATTGTCATACTGCATCCACAAGTCTGCTTCCATGTGCTTTGTTTTCAGCCTTCCAAGCAGACCTCTGGTCCTGTGCCATCAAGTAATTGTTCTGGTTGGTTTGTATCATACTTGTTGATAATTTCCTTCAGTACAATTTGGAAGTGGGCTATTTGAAACGGCTGTAGAAAGGGCAAGGGTATCAGTTCAGCCAAAACTCGCCCAGGCTCCACAGGTACGACACCTCCTTATTCCAAATGAGCCGGACTTCCTCATGTACACTTCCTTGGCCTTTTGTGTTGCTGAAACTAGTATATGGTGATTATTAGATAATGAGCTCATTTTCTACATAACTAACATCGTTAGTTACTGTCACAAAGAAAAGAAATTTTTGTTTCCATTTGTATATTAATTTGGCTGTTTGTGATTGGCTAGAAAAATGAGCCAACTTTCTGTAATGTTTTGCTGCAGTTAAAACATTTGGTTTCCTGTGACTGCATATATTGTGTTTATTGCTAGAAGGAAGAGGTCTGGATGGAGATGTAGATGCCTTTTTTCCTCAGAGAATTTAGTAGGAAGAGACTGAGGCAGGAAAACAGGAGTTGAATGGGTGAAGACCCTGCCTTGCAGCTGCTGCTGACGAACTGTTTGGATGTTTCATACAACAGAGGTGTCCTTGGTTGGCCTCTCTTGGGGGCTTTGACTCCTCGGCCTCCAGGGTTTCTGTTGTAGGGAGCTTTCCACATCAGTAACATAAACCTTCATCCCATGTTTGAAATTTAACACTACAGAATTTTCTGCTGAAGTTAAGGCTATTTCCCACCTGACCGTTCTTCCACATCCTTGCCTGCACCATTGCTGTGAGAGGAATTTGTCTAGGATGTGTCCGTAGTATCACCAGATAAGCCTTTCTTCATGTGTACTGTCAGTTTGGGAACAGATTAAAAGCATGCCTGTCTACAGTAAGATCTATTTGGATTTAACCAAGCTTATCCTAAGATGTGAAAAATGTTAATGTTCAACATTAAATCACATGTTAAGTATGAATGCCAAGTTTCACCTCACAAGGTAATACAGCTAACTTTGTAACTGCAGAATGATTTTGGTCTCGTGTGTCCATAACCGTTCATAATATTCTTATCACTTACATGTCCTTTTTTTTTTTTTTTGTAGTATTTCACCAAGGTTTTGCTGACCAATCACAGATACAATTCAGCAGGAAACTTTATTTAAAAACAACTGTGATACTTTGATGTTCAGATTCACCAGCTCTGGCTTGGCATGTTTTTTAAAGGTTGATTCTTATAAAGCCTTTTGCAAAATATGCGCTTGGGGGAAGAAGATGACATCTGTGAAGATGAGTTACCTGGAAATACGTAAGCCTGATGACGCTGTAGTTTTGAATATGTGTAGGTAGAATACTCTGGGTGTTGGTGGAGAAGTCACTGAAACTTAAGGTTCCTCTACATTATGAGGAAAAAAATCTTAACATTCCTCTTTTGGAGAATTTCTTTACTAACACGGAGGCTTCAATATTGGGTGTTTGGTAATCTGAGGACTAGTTAATTACTCCTGCATTGGGTTTTCATCATCTCTAGCAACTGACTGCTGAAGGGCTACATTCAAGTAATTAAGTACACACAGCTGACAGACTTCCTGCTGTTCAGTGAAAGTTCTAAATTTATGTTCTCATAGGTTTTAACAGAATTATTTGATGGTGGTATCTCAGTAGAGTATCATCCCAGATGGAGGAGGAAGAATAGTTTTTTAAGGAAATATTAACTTAAAATGCACATAAATGTCCATAATCCTCTTACATAGCAGCTCACAGGTTGAAATGTTCCATAGCATATCTTCTGAGCAATTCACTTGTTGCTGAAACTATTGTCTTGAACTTGAAAGTAGACTGATGAAATTGTAAATGAAAAGAGATGCCCTGTTTTCTAAAACACTAACTCTTAAGTTCAAACACATACCTTTTGAATGCTTTTGGAACTATGTGGAAAGAACACAGTTCATAAAAAGGTATTTTTTCACTGTGTTAATTGGCCAAGCTATGAGAAATGGGGTCTAGTTAATGACTGAATGCATAAAAGATGCAATTGTACATGAGACCAGTTAGAAATGCATCACTTCATTGGCAACCAGCTTCCTTTGCATGTGTATAGTAGCCTGTGAACCTGAGACCACATCTGGGGCAGCTTGGATGTGTTAGTTTGTTAGAAACAACAAGGGGGGAATTCCCTTGTTGCCACTTAAAGCAATGGAAGTGGAGTGTGCAGAAAACTTGAGGACAGTTGTGGAATACAGTATTATGCAGAGGAGGAGCTAAACTACAAAGAGTTTTTAATTAGCCAAGTTGGGGGGGGGGGGGGGGAAAACAAAAACAAAAAAAAACCACCAAAGCAAATTAAAAAAACCCAAAGCAGTAGCAGTGTGTGGCAAAACTATTGGATACCGTGTTCTTGACATTAGTTCAGAAGAATTTCTAAGTTTCCTGTTCCTCAAGTATTCTGAAACAGAATGCAGTGTGACTGTACGAACACTTGCATTTCTCTGCACTTGCCTCCATTAAAAGTTGTGGCCTGTTACAAGCAAACAGGATCTCGCCCTATCCCTGCACTGGACCATGATGGCTTTTTCCCTAAGCACTCACTCCCCCCATGCCTTGGCTGCTGTTTTCTCATTTGATGTTTTACTAAGCAGCATTAAAGGGACTACAGGTAACATTTTGAAGAAATCTTACTGTTCTCATGGGCTTGAACGGTGTTCATTTCTGAGGTGAAGAAGCATCCATGAAATCAAAGCATTTCTTGGGTCTGTTTGTTTTTATAGCTGGTTTTGGTTTTTCCTCTCAAAAATTCCTTGAACTGGTAGATTGCTTGTGACTTAAATTCTTTCTATGCCTGTTAATATGCACTGAGTGTTACTTTTTTAATTCTACCTCATGATATGCTGTTTTTTTACATGAGTATTGTGCTGAAACATTGGACACTAACTTTTCTGCACAAAGAACTGTTACTCCAAAGTGACACATGTCACATCCAGATACTACTTGCAGTGCACAGCACCCGGAGTGGTGGGTTGACCAGCCCTGCCCAACTCTGGAAGCCAGAGCCACTGAGCAGGAGTGTAGGACTGATGCTAAAAGTTGGCCTGGTTAAGGGGTTTGAAGAGAACATTGATGCTTTCATAGTATGTCCAGCAGATGCAAATTAAGATGGATTTCTATCCATGTATGCTGTAGAAATGTTACTTAGTTCTTCTGATTACATTTGTAGTAAGTTTGATTTAGAGTAAGTAGGTAATCTTAGATTTTGATCGTTTGATTACTCATTTCAACAATACTTGGCAATTTTCAGTGAAAGTTCATCTTTTTTACCAATGAAGTTCATGTAACACATTGAAACACTAATGAAGTTTATAACTGATATGACTTGAAGTTGCATTGTGGTGGAAGGAGTGATTTTCAGTTGTCTTTCTAAATAATACTACCTTGCCTTATTGAATTAATGAAGTACTTTGTTGGTGAGCTTTGGATTATTTCTAGCTAGTCAAAAAAAAAGTTTGTCATATTGATATGTTTCAGAAGATGAATATTTAACCTTCCAGAACTACATAAAACTGTCTGAAACAAATAGAAGAAGAAATTTCAAATGGTAGATGAAAGACTGTACTAACAGCGAAGTATGGTAGTAGCTTATACCAGAGGTTTCTTTAAACTGGTTTACTTTTGACCACACAAGTGTTACATCAGTTGATAAAGCGCCACAGCATTTCTACTGAAGATAAAGCTCTCTGTTTGATTGTAGAGCATGCAGTATGGGGTTTTTTAAGTGCATGATTTCATACTCTTTAACTTCTGTAGGAAAAGAATCCCTCCATTCACAGCATGATTGATCGGCAGAAGCCGATCAACTGTGTAATTCAGATCTCTATAGGAATGTCAAGGTATAGCAGTGTCTACAGGAACCAAACTAGTGTTTGAAGCTAGTAATCCTTTTGTAGTAGTCCAGTGACTGTATGTTGTGGGAGTAAATGCATTTTCTGAGTATTCCATTAGAGGTCAGTCTTTAAATCACTGCAGCACTTAGAAGTCTATTTGTGGGGAGAGGGAGAGAAACTATTAATGGGACTGTACAATGACATTCATGTATATGTACTTTCTCTGTATGAGGTGTGTGTGTGTGCGTATTTCAGTATAGAGCCAGCCATGGGGCATGAGTCCACTTGTCAAACATGGGTAGTTCAGGGAAAAATGTAACCTCCAAACAGAACTATTGGGGATAGGAAGAAAAGCACAGTGATAGAGACAGACACATGCACATTTGTTTGCACTCTTGAAGTCTTGGTAAGGACAGCTTGATTGCTTACTACCAGAATTAGAATGTAAACATCAGATTTTACTTTGGGTTGAGGGAACGGGGTTGGTTGATTCTGGTGGGGTGTGCTTGGTGGTGGCGGGTTTTGTTTTTTTCTTTAATTTGGGCAACACTGATATGGAGAAGGTCCTGATACCGTAAAACATGGGTCTGTTGCTCTGGGGAATGTTGCCAAGTGAAAGCTTTTCAAGAAATCTAGTTTACATGATTCTAAAAGATGGAGTTAAAGGAACAAGTCAACAACCCATAGTATTTTTGTCCTGCAGGAAAAAGAAACTTCTAATTTCCTGATCTTAGACAAAGGTGCATTTTCTTAAGCACTAGATCTTCATTAAGTACAAAGTTTTTAATACGAAAACAAATTGTGCATGTAGAATATTTTGAAATACCTGAGATTTCATAGTAAAAATTGTAGCCTTTTAATACAGATAGGAAGTATCAGAACTGCTCTAAAAATATTGTACTTTCAGCCGTACAGTAACTATTTATGGACAGTTTCTCTTGCTTGCATGATAAATTAAACATTTAATAATTCAATGAATTAAAATCTATTTTAATGTATTTATCTTACACTGAGCTGTGTTCTGTGATGCTCACTGGTTCCTGTCTGCTCCCCACAACTAGGAGGAAAAAACCACAGTGCTCGGAGCAAAACGACCTCTGTACACAGGTCTCTTTCCCTCCATGGGTTTCTTTGCTACTGTCCTTACTGTCAAGCATATTTGTGAGAAGAAACATCTCAGTCATGAAGCCTAGAAAGCAGGACATATGTTGGGGCTTGTATGGTAATTACAAACTAAGTGTAATTAACCATTCCATTGACCGAGACAGTATCTCTGGGGTAGAGCCTGTTTCTCAACCAGCAAACCCTTGAAGGCAGCACTGCTGTTGTAAGAATTTGCTGAAGGGGTCTCACAGTGGTGTGCAGGAAACTACCTGCCCATAGGGAACAGCCTGAAACTGAAAACGATCCGGCCTGCTCTGCCATGGCTGTGGCTGAGGGTGGTGGGTTGCCTGTGCCAGGAATAACACCTCCCCTTGCAAAGGGTTGGGCTCCTGGGAAGCCACAGTGAAAACAGCATCTGCACAAAACCAAATTCTGCCTCAGCATCACCCGAGGAACAGCTGAATGTCACGTTGTCGCACAGGACAGATGGGCACAGTGCGCGCTCGGGCATGTTGTGTATGTCCCTTGGTTCTCTGCTGTTGCATTGCCTGTAATGAGGCCTCAGCACATGCAGAAGCAACATTGTTCTGGGTTGAGTGAGTGGTGGAGTTTTTTGGTGGCAGGGGAGGGGGCTACAGGGGCGGCCCCCTGTGAGAAGCTTCTCGAAGCTCCCCCAGCTCCACGTCAGCTCCACTTCTGTTTGGGAAATTGAGCCAATTGGCTGCGCCTCTGCGATAACGTATTTAAGAAGGGACGTGGTGACGGGCAGTGGGACTGGTGAGGAGGAGTTGCTGCAGCTGCCGTGAACACCAAGGTCAGTGGAGGAGTGGAGGAAGAAAGGAGGGGGGAGGTGTGTCGGAGCAGAGACCCCCCTGTATCCTGTGGGGAGACAGCAGGGTGGCCCCCCCCTGCCACCCATGATGATCTACGGTGGAGCAGACATTGATTTATGGTCTGTTGCTCCTGCTCAGATGATCAAGGTTCTGTGCCCGAAGAAGGCCGGGGTCTCGTGGGAAAAGGCAGCCCCGCTGCTGTAATTCAGCACTGGGAGGATTGCAGCATGCGGGGGAGTCCCACGCCGGAGCAGCTCGGGAAGGGCTGCAGCCGTGGGAGAGAATCCAGTCGGAGGAAGTTAGTGACCCATGACGGAGCAGCGTGGGGAACGCTGCGGCCCGTGGGAGGAATTCATGTCAGAGAAAGTTTGTGGAGGACTGTCTCCTGTGAGAGGGGGACCACGATGGAGCAGGGGGGAACAAGTTCTGGACACTCCCCTCACCGAAGATGAAGGAAGTGGCAGCGCTGACTGCACCCCCCATTCCCTGCCCCTGCGCCACTGGGGGAGGAGGTAGAGATATCGGGAGCAGAGCTGAGCCCGGGAAGAAGGGAGGGGTGGGGGGAAGGTGTGCTCAAGATGGGGCAATGCTTCTCACTGTCCTACTCTGTGTTGTTAGTGTCTGTAATAAATGTATGTTCTTTTTTTTTTCTTCCCCTAATGAGTCTGCCTTTTGCTCATGATCATAAAGGGGGATCTTCCCCCATCCCAGTCCTATCTCGAACCCCAAGCCTGGCTCTCTGTCCCTTCTCATTGCCGGAGGGGAAGGGAGAGAGAGCTGCTGCCTTGTGGTTGGCTGCCAACCAGGCCCCAACCACGACAAACATGACATCTGGGTTTAAATCAGAAGGTGGGTTTAAGTTGGGGCAAAGGAATACAAGCTAAGAAGCTGAGGAAATGTGCACACTTTTATTGCCCTGGCTTTGCTATAACTGCAGTAATACTAAGCTGGTGCTGCAGTTCTCAAGCCTCTGCGTCACAGACCCAGCTGTAATGCTTTTCTATCAAGTTTCACTGAAAATGAGTTAAAATTTTACTCTGAAAATTTACTCTTATCCATACAACAGCCCTGTTTGATGCAAAACCACCAGAGCAGTCAGTGATAAATAGTCTGTACCCAGCCTAAAATAATATGCTACATTCAGTTTACCTACCTTGACACTGCAAAAATGCTGTTTGGGCTTGTCAGTGCTTGAGGCTTTCTCTTGCCCCCTCATTACCCGTTGCATAATACACAAGGGGAAAGCTGTCTTTCTAGTTGTTAGGTGGGATGGCATTAGTTTCTATGAGAAAAAACAAACTGGACTACCACTGCCCAATGACCCATGTTGATTTCTCATAGCTGTTACGGAGCCTCTTGCATTTTCCAGCCACACTGCCTTTTCAGAACTGTGAGATGTTGCCTTCCTATTTGTTTACTTTCCCATGCAAAAGCCTGTGTTCTCTCTGCCCCACCCACAACTGCAAACAGCCAAGAACTGGCCAAACTTGATTATCCAATTAGCATAAAACATGCATACAAGATCTTTGGAATAGAAATATGCCTCAAAAACCACAGAGCAGTATTTTGCAATATTGCCCTCCCTTGCTCAAAGCAGTTACTACCCAAAGTATAGCTCTATTAGTTTTTCTCCTGGCAGTAACCTGTTACCATTGTTGGTGGAATTCCCCTTCCCTTCTTTAGCTGGAAGTGATTGTTGTAGCCCACCAGGAAGAGCAACTGAGGCACCAGCAATAATCTTTAGAATTCTGCTTTAAAGGTTGGTCAGACCTCAGCATGGGTCCCAGGTGCGTGTTTTTAGAGAACGCAGCAACTGCGGCCTGGCCCCTCTAGCTTTTCAGGCACCATCCTGGTTTGGTAGCAAAGCTGTGGTGAGACAAGGCAACACCAGGTCGAGGATCCCACTCCTGAGCTATCCCATGGAAAAGGGTGCTAACCAGGCAGGAAAGATAACTCAGCCCAAGGTCTCTTTTCTCCAACACACTTTGTCTTTCACACTGACTACACTAAGCCTGCCCTGCAAACACACAGTGCTAGCTAGTGTTTGGCTTGAAGATCTACTCCTTCCTGATCCTTGCCCAGTATCACCTGTATTCTTAAATTGCAACTGTGTTAAGTACGGAGTTGAGGCAGACTGGTTATTGCGTTTCTTAAGATTGGAAACAATCTTGGAAAATCTCCTGAGCTGAGTTAATATCATGTCAGTTAAAGCAACGCAGCTCCTTCTTTGCTCTCTTCCTGGACTGACAACACATCCACTTTAGTAAACTACATAGTCCATCTCACAGTAACTCGTGTGCCAAAACTGACGGGACCGCTCTCTTCACGGATTACGAGTCTCTGTTCTCCTACACATAAAACATCTGTAATTTGTTAAGCATGCATTTCCTTTGATGGTGTTGTAAAACTGTCAGTGGTTATAAAGCAAAGCAGTTGTGTCATGACAGACCTGCAGTGTACTCCATCTAACTGTGCCACATAAGCAGAGACAGCAACAGACCAGGACTGCAGTTTTTTCTTTTTGCTACAGTAGTGCAAAGCCCACCACTAGCTGGTGATTATGTTAAATTCTTACTCCCAATGCTTCAGGTTTCCCAACATTAGAGAAGTATGTAATATCTTCCATGGAGAAACAGGATGCAAATTTTTTTATTCCATCAAGGAGTGATTACAGGAAAAAAAAAAAAAAAAAAAAAAAAAAGTACAGCGGTAAAAATCAGATTCTGCCAGTAACAAACATTCAGTAAACATTTTATTTAAATGCAGATAACCGCAACATTCAGATACAAGAATGCTCACTTGTGCCTGGCCATTTTTGACTGTGAAGCTAGGGACTATATTATAATTGTAACACACTGATTAGAATCAGTATTTCAGGACAGCCTAGCAAATGGAAAACTCAAATTTAAAAAAAAAAAAAAAAAAAAAGCAATAGACACTCCAAAACTTATGAAAAGACCAATTCAGACCAGTTTCTGAAAGCTTTCTTGTCCTCCATCATCCAAAATATTTTATGTATATATAGTTTCATAAAGTCCCCCAGGAAATTCAAATTTTTTTAAGACCCTCACCTGCTTTATGATCATGCTTGCTCTTCTATCCCCTTCTCTAAGGCCTGAAGTCATATCTCTCAACTCCCAAGTCTGGAAGACACACAATACTTCATTCTTCTGTAAGTCTTTTTCAATACTCACCTACAGAAGTCCTTAAACAGGTCTCCAAAAGCTGTATCTTTCCTACCTAGCTACTTCTAAGGTTGTCTTTGGCTGTCGTCTCTGCTACACTTACAGTCCTCCACTGAAGTGGGTAATACACAGAAAACTCATCTTGTCAGTGCTGCTGTACACTTCTGTTTTACAGAACTGTAAAGAATACACATCAGGTAAAAATACCTTGTTGGGAATCCATTATTCCAAGTGCCAGGTAAAAATACCTTGTTGGGATCCATTATTCCACAGCCCAAATAAAACAGGAAAAACTTGCGAAACACAAGATAGCTCAGTACAAAAGAGCTATGTTTGTGAACTACTTTCACAGCTGCAGGAACTGAAGTATTTCATGAACATCACAGAAAAGGCCATCTGCCTTCTGGCCCCATAGCTGTAAGCAACACAAAAAGCAGCAATGCAATGCAAAAAAAAATTCTGGAACATGCTCCATGTTTAAAAGTAGAAGGTTAAGAAAGGACACTTTAAAGCTTTAGGAAATTTGCTGTTCCATTCCTTCCACTTTTCCCTTTTCACATGAAGGCACACATGTACGTATACACACACAGAGATCCCCCTTTGAACTGGAGTCAGCTGACACCGAAGTTATAACTTAACATTTGGTAACCACTCTTACACTGCTGAATGAAATGTCCATCTTAAAGCCAAGCATCAAAATGGCTGGCAGAAGAGTTTGTGTAGGCTTAGTTGAAGCTTGAAGTCCTAAACTTCAGTCATCCTCAGGTGGATCTGTCCTTCTAGCTTTAAACAATAAGGATTACTTAGGACCCTAAAACATTTGAAAATGCTGTTCTTAAATTGAGATTTTGAAGTTTATCAGCAAAGGAATCAATTTTCATCAGCCTCTCCTTGATTCTCATGTTCTGCAATGTGGACAGTGAAGCACATTCCATCACGGAGCATTAAGAAATTTTGGGAGTGATATTGACTAAGCCACTGGACTGTCTTTTTTTTTTTGTTTGTTTTTTTAAACCTTGTATTTGTCTAGTAGCTCCATTATGGGTAAACTCATCTGCCTGCAAATAAATACTTCAGAAAGTTCTTCTTAATTGCATCAAGGTTTAGATGCATCACCATTCATCCCATAAATACTGAAGGCCAAGACTAATAACTTTCACACTACGCAGGCACCGTTCCCTGGGATTAAGTGACATCATATGTGCCAATACCCAAATGAACAGAAGAGCCAAAGGAAGATAGTGGTTTTCACAACAGCTTGAGCAAGAATTCGTAGGTTGCATTGATTATGCCCCAAGACAGGACAGAACGATGGTAATTCAGATGGGCTCCTCTGAAAAGGTGGATGAGTTTTCTATCGCGCTCCAGCCAGATCTTCACAAAAACTTTTGAGAAGGACTGAAATTCACCACCAATTTGCGCTTGCATGCGAGTTTTTACAACATTTGCTGGGAAAAACAAGAAACCCAGCATGGCACCCAATAGCCCTCCACAGATAAAGTCATTGACCAAATGAGCACTGTAAGAAGTTGCTTCAGGCAGACACTGTTTGATAGGTCCCCGTAGGCCAAAGAAGAGTGCATTACTGGGTCCATTTCGGAGCAGAATAGGCACCAATCCCCGATAATATTCTCTCATGCCATAGACTTTCAGAACCTTGAAAGCCTGGTAAGTGTTTGTAAATCTATCGTGGTGTTTGTAGTCCTGAAGCAAAGTCTGAACTCGCTCAAAAGGTGTAAGAACAGCTTCCGCGGTCCCCGCAAGCACTGCTGCCATGCTGCCGGTGAGGAGTTCAGGAGCAGTTGTGTGGCTATGGAGCAGGGAGGAGACGTCTTCATACAAGCCAAACATCAGAGCCAGTGTTGTTGTTTTCTGCATTAATGGAGGAAGGATGCCACGATAGAGGTTTCTAATTCCGTCCTTCTGCAGCTGATGTACCGCATCCTTTATTTTCAAACCATACAACTGCTGCCGAAAGAGGACCTTCTGGATGGGAAAAGTGACTACTATATTTGTGAAGGCTGCACAATAGCCACAAAGATAATGTTTACCAGAGGTAGCTGTTACGTCATTGCTGATATATTCCTTTGAATTCATTGGGGCAGAACCTTCTGAATCCATCATACTGTTCATCTTACTCTCAGTTCTCCTGTACCTCACTTCTTCCCTACATCAAAAAAAAAAAAAAAAAAAAGAATGAACATGAGCAGAGCTGCAGGTGATCCTGCAGCTTTTTTCACACTAGTGGATCATTCAAACAGCATCTGGTATCTTATATATAAGGAAAGCCCATAAAATTTGAAAAAGAAAGGTGACAAATGCCAGGTCTGACAGATGTTGCACTGTTTTCTATTCAAGTCTTAGAGATCTGGAAAAGTGGCAATTTTTCCTTTCTGTACGCTTTCAAATTAAAACAGAAATAAATTTGGAAGAAAAATGAGATATGAACTCCTCAGGCGCTACGTTACAGCTGACAAGAGGAAGCTTACACATTGGAGCATTATTCACTTACATCATTCACTGTGCCAAGGAATTCAAACAGTGAAAGAAAGGTCTACTCTCACACTAATACACACTAATAAAATACACACCACTGGGATGGCTGTGGTGGGGACAAAAGAGAGTCTAAGAAAAAAAATAAAAAAGAAACAAAATACATGCATAGCATTACAAACTCTAATCATTCCACCCTGTCTTGCTCTGTGGCAGAAAACAACAGATGATTTAAATAACAATTTGTCATGGTTTAACCTGGCAGCAACTAAGCAGCACACACCCACTTGATCACTTTCCCCCCAGCCCCAGTAGGACAGTGGGGAGAATCGCAAGGATAAGTGAGAAACTCACTCATGGGTTGACATAAAAACACTTTAATAATTAAAGAGAATTTTTTTTTTTTTAATTTTGTAAGGGGGGAAAAAAAATCAAAGAGAGGAAAATAAAACCCAAGAAAAGCAAGTGATGCAAATGAAAACAATTGCTCACCACCAACTGACCGATGCCCAGCCGGTCCCTAAGCAGTGGCCCCCCCTGCCACCTTCCCCCAGCTTTTATTGCTGATATGGTCTGTAACATCCCTTGGGTCAGCTGTCCTGACAGTGCCCCCTCCCAACTCCTTGTGCACCCTCAGCCTGCTTACTGGGGGAGCAGGATGAGGAGCAGAACAGCCCCTGACACTGTGCAACACTGCTCAGCAATAACTAATGCATCCCTGTGTTAACCAGCACTGTTTTCTGCACAAATCTAAAATGTAGCCCCATACCAGCTGCCGTGAAGAAAATTAACTATATCCCAGCCAAAACTAATACACATTCGTAATCACAGGCTTAAACTACTACTACTTCTTAAACTACAAGAACACTCCCAACACAGTTTTGAAAAACCTTTCCAGTTAATTAACCTGCAGCCTTGACTGCAGAAAAAGAGAGCATCTTGAACCCACCTTTGATTTTCATGTTCTGTCAAGACATTTAAGACCTGAGCCTGGCAAGATCAGGTACATGAAGGACATGTGAACCGAGACAGCTTCAGGCAACACCTGTTCATCATTTAAAATGGGATTACTTATTCAACAATTACAAAAAGATATTTTTGCAGCTGATCCAAATCATAACTTCCATTAGAGCACAGCTTGAGTTAAAAGTCAGCAATTAGAAACCAAGTGAGGCTGGTGGTAGTTTGTGAGCTTCAGATGCCCCACCAGCAACATGCATGAGATTTCCATGATTTCCAGATGGTATTTGGGAGTAATACCCCTGCTTGACATGAGGAACTGTTTGTCAGGGTGAAGCCACTACAGGCTGTTATGTGAAGGATGCATGGCAGAGGCTACACAGCAACAAGGTGGATTGCTCAAAGCAACCTGACAGATTATTTTGACCAAGTACACAATTTATCTTTAAAATAAAATATGTATATAGCTGGATTGGCTTTCCCCCTACAGTTACACGCTATTTAATCCTTTAAAGTCTGGCAAGTGAAAATTCCATCTAAATAATTTGCAAAGATTAAGTGTTTCTGTCAATATGAGAAGTAATATAAGAGACAGGGATTCATATTAGACGGCTTAATACACCACTTTACGTATGCATGAGTTTAGAGTATTATTCAGATTACTGTAGTTCTAATTACATATACTAAAAACCCCACATCTGCAGACATGCTAGTCTTAGACAGAGGGCAGTGGGTCATAATTCAACTAACACAGTGTGGAAGAGTCTCTCACCAGAGACACCACCATTAAGGAGGTGATTTAAAAGGCCTTTCACAACTATTCATTTATAGGGGTGACATCTGCCTACAGCCAAAACATATTTTTCCCTCAAAAGAAACTCATAATAAATAAAAATTAAAAGAAAGACACCTTTAGTCTAGTTTCAGCAGCTACATGCTCCTTTTGGTGCACCCGCTGGATTTGTCCAGTCAGGAAGCGTTGAAGACATAAGGCAGTCATCACACTTCTGAATTAGGAACTTGCAAGAGCCCGGCATGACTAGTTGTCCCAGAAATGTTTATGACAGAATCCTTGCTTTCAGAAGTAACTAGTAAGGCCTCTGCCACCTACAGGTACTAAAGCACAGCAACCACTTTGTTAGATTTGAACATGAAAGAAACAACTCCCCAGAAAAAAAGGTTTGGATCAACAGCATTACTTATACATACCAACCCCTGAAGCTGCTGCAACATCCGTTTACACACACAAGTTCCCCTTAGCCCAAGTGCCAATTTCAGCATGCTCTGAGCAAGGGGGCATACGTGATCCTTTTTGACATCATGTTCCCTGACCTCAGTTCTGCACATCAGCTGCCTAACGCTGTCACCATCCTGCAGTACGCGCATCGCACTTCTGAAGAAGGATTTCAATCCATTTACCTGCCTCAACGGCCATGGCCTTCAGGATGCTGGCACGTGACCCAGAGGGTCTGGAAAACACGAGAGAAAGAATAAAGAAAGGGGCATTTGCTGTATGATATTGCATTGTACCTCTGCATTTGCGATGCTGGTAAAAGATCACAGTATGACGTGCAATGACCCTGAAGTCCTCCCGACCCAACCACAGTTTCGGACTATTGTGAGACCTGGACGCTCCTTCAGTAAACCGGAATAACGCTGCAAACTCACGCTCTTCCGCTACCGGCAGTGAGAGGTATGCGTGCTGCACAAGCCGCCAAACCTCGAGGGCGTGCAGCTGGGCCGGTGACCGCAGGCTTACGGATTCTCTGCGGCCGGTAACGTGCTGCTCCGTTCCGCCCAGCCGCCGGTGCTCCGCGCCCCCGCGACGCTTCCAGACCCACCGCGCCCCCCGCGGAGCAGCCGCCCGCGGAAACCCGCCGGTCTGCCTTCGGCAGGGCCGCCGGGCAGCGGGCGCGGCCCCGGGCCGCCAGACAGCGAACGGGGCAGCCGCGGAGGAACGGCGGGAGACAACACCCCGCCCCCGGGCCGGGGCCTGCCCCGCGGCCCGCGGCCCGAGCGCGCCGGCACCGCGCTCAAAGTCGGGGCGGCGGGACCGGGACCGCCCCCCCGGGACAAACCTGCGGCCGTTGCCATGGCGATGGCGGCAGCGGGCGGGCGGCTCCACCGGCGGCACGGCCCTGGCCCGGCCCCGCGCCCTCCGCCGGCGCCTGACGCAGCGTGGTGACGCGAGGGCGCCTCACCACGTGATCCCGAAGAAGGGCGGGGGCGGCACAGCCCCCCCTCGCCCCGCCCCCCCCTCGCCCCAGCCAATCGGGCGGCGGGGCGGCGGCCACACCCTGCCCCGGGGCCCCGCCCCCCGGGCCCGGCCCGCAACGCGGCGGGGCCCCGCACCGGCGGGGGGGCCGAGGTGAGCGCGGCGGCGGGGCCGCCCGGGATCCGGGAGCGCAGCCACGGCTGCCCCGGGCGGCGCTCCGCCGCGGCGGGAGGCTCGGCGGAACCCCCGCCCCCGTTCCTTCCTCCTCCGGCTGCCCCCGGTTCGCGTCGGCCGCGCTGGTAGGTGCGGGAAGCTGCTATGCTGGCCGGTCGCGCAGCGGCGGCCCCGAGCGGGGGGACCGCGGGCTTTTTTTCCAAGGCAGAACGTGTTCGGGGAGCCCCCCCACCCCCCGGGCCGGCCGCCGGTGCTCGCGGGCTGGGGCTGCTCCGGCGCGCCCGGGGACTCGGGCTCCACGGGCCAGCGCGGAGGGGGGACTGTGGACCCGCAATCCGGAGGGGCTCTGTGCCGCTGGCAGCTGCCGCTTCCGAGAGCGAGACGCGGGGAACGGGGCTTGGCAGTTGGCAGCACGACCCCGAGCACGGGGGCACGGTGTTAGCCTCATGCCCGGGGTGGGACGGGATGCCTGAGGTCCGCTGCGGGCCAAGTCCCGCCTTTACTGGCAGTGCATTGCCAGCAGTCCTGAATGCTTCCTTCCTGATATCTCCTCTGCTTGAAGTGTCCTGCTGATGGCTCTGCCTTGTGCACCATGAACTCCCAGCCATGCTTTTTGCTCACCAGAAGTGTGTCCAGCCTCACACTTGGCCTGCCTCGGCAGCCCCTTGCTCCATGCTGCTGGGTGGGAGCTGGCAAGTGGCTCTGCTGGGGAGGGGGCCCTCTGCCAGCCCCTCAAAAGAGGCCTGCGTGCTGCTGACTGGTTGCCCTCGGCTCTGCCAAGAGATGTGCTCGACTTTGGCCTTCCCAGCTGCCAGCCACGATGCATCTGGAGCTGCGCTGCAGCCCACCACCCCAGCAGCACGTTTCCATCGTGCACAGCCGCCTGCTCCCGCCTCTCTGAGCACAGGGGAGGAGTCTTCCTGCAGCCAGGAGGGCAGAGCCGTTGGCTTCCCCCCAGTCCCTGTCACCGCTGCCTTGCCCAGCGGTCTCAGTGTGGCGCTGGAGCGAAGCGTCATGCCTGCTGGGGTGGCTGATGCTCTGCTAAGGACCAAGTGTGGTGGGGAACAGGGGTGTCTGTCAACACAGGGTCCCTGCCCTGGCTGAGCCCTGCCTTCCCTCTGTGCCCCAGAAGCTGCCTGGGCTCACCACTGACTCTGTGTCCTGTCCTTCGCAGGTGCTGATGGAGGTCCGTGTCCTACCCATGGAGCTGTGGCAGCTCATCTTGTCCTATCTGCGCCTGCCTGACCTGGGCCGCTGCAGCTTGGTCTGCAGGGCCTGGTATGAGCTCGTCCTCAGCTTGGACAAAACGCGCTGGCGGCAGCTCTGCCTGGGCTGCCTCAAGCACCGACACCCCAACTGGCCCAACCAGCCCGGCGTGGAGCCGCAGTCCTGGAGAGAGGCCTTCAAACAGCACTACTTGGCTTCCAAAACCTGGACCAAGAACACGCAGGACCTGGAGTCCTCCAACTGCCTCTCGCTCTTCCGGAGGAGGAAGGGCCGGCGCCAGCTCTGTGTTGGCGTGGGGGGCGAGTTCGGCAGCCTCCGGGCTGCCCTAGCCGGCGCCAGCCCCTACGACCGCCTGGTGCTGCTGCCCGGCGTGCACGAGGAGCAGAGCGAGGTGCTGCTGAAGGTGCCCGTGGAGGTTGTGGGGCAGGGCAAGCTGGGGGACGTGGTGCTGCTGGTGAGCATTGACCAGCACTGCCCCACCGCCCGCCTCTGCAACGTGGTCTTCATGCCATCCCGCTTCACCTCAGTGCTCTACAAGGTGAGGCTCGGCGGAGCGGGGGCGGTGAGGATGGCAAGGCCACCAAGGTGTCATGACCGAGGGGGTTCCCCAGTCTGTGAGTGTCTGGAGAGCACAACCAGGGAGTTCGTGGGACTCCCTAAGGCATGGGGGCTCAGGGGCTTTCACAGAATCATGGAATGGTTGGGGTTGGAAGGGACCTTAAAGACCATCTAGTCCCAACCACCCTGCCCCGGGCAGGGACGCCTTCCCCTGGGCAGGGACACCTTCCCCCAGCCCAGGGTGCTCCAAGCACCATCCAACCTGGCCTTGAACCCTTCCAAACCTTCTCTTCTTCAGGCTGAACACCCCCAACTCTCTCAGCCTGGCCTCACAGGGGAGGTGCTCCAGCAACCTGCTTTGTCCTCTGAATGTCTCTATGTCATTACAGATTGCCACAAATGCCACACAAATCACCACTAGCAAGAATGCCTTTGGTTAATGAAGCAACTATATATCAGGCTATTAGAAATTACTATCAGCAATCAATAATAGAGTAGCGATAGTATGGCAGCAATCAGTAATAGAAACAATCATACAGCAGCAAACAAGTAAATACTATTACTGGTTACTGCAAACTTACCACCAATACAATAGCAGATATGCTTATGATATATTACTCATATGGATATATCATACAGGTATCAAGAGAATTAGATTTCAGAAGGGGCCAAACCATCTGTGCAGGTGAATCAAGAGAGGTCATCATTGTGGGGTAAACTAAAAGGGTTTTATTAATGGTTAAATGATGATCAAATGGTAATTAATTGATGATTGAATAATAAATGGTAATCAAATAGTGATTAAGCAATAATTGAGTGGTAATGAAACACTGATTTGATAATGATTTGACACTGATTTAAATGATTTAAGCGACAATTCAGAGGTGGTCAAACACTCTACTACTTACTATACTTCTAATAACTAAGTTATAGCTGGGTATATAAATGTCACTAGCATACAATGTACTTTTAAGCCCAATGTAAAATGTCACGTACCTCACTGCAGGTTTCAGATGACAGGTAAGGGGTCTCTCAGCGCCAGGGAGTACCCTTGAGAGGTGCCTGTGCTCAAGGGAGATCACCGCCATGCAGCCCGCTGCAATGCAGGACAGCTCAATGGGTTCAGCAAGCTGCAGATACTTGCAGAGGGATGGGCTCACAGTTGACCTGCCCCTTTGGTGTCTGTGTGGGTGTGCAGCTGTAAGCGATTTTGGTTTTGTGTAGTCTCAGCTAAGACTGGTGCTGTTAGATCCTGATAAGACGTGGCCTAGACTCCTGAGTCCCTGACAATGTTAGCGGTCGCAATCGCAAAAGAACTTACCTACACACAGCAGATAAGCAGGCAATTCTTTATTCCAGTGCTGGGGAACACGGCGGATAACTCCGCCAAAGACGTGTTCAACGACAGATACAAAGCACCACATATTTATACACTTTTTCAGCAGAGTCATGGTTGCATAGTCAAGGTTACATAGTCATTTTAACTCAAGATCCATAACCAGTACCTGTTGTTTTGATTCAGAGTCCATAACGATTCCTATAGTGATTAAGGCAAACGCCATACTAGTTATTTGTTCCTAAGGGCCTCGACATACCTTATATTGTCATATGTGCTATAACTCCATTTTAAAACAAGGTCATATTTTAAACTAAAATCGAAATAATATTCTAGGATTCAAACTATATTATTAAGGTATTTGCAACAACAAGATCTGACCTGGCATGCATCTGATGGTTGGCACAGCAGGGCTGACTTCAGTCAAGGCTGCATGTTGGTGGTGCCTGAACCAAAGCATTCTTCACTTGGTCAGAGTGGGTGCACCCGTTGCACCATCCCAGAGGGGCTCCCGGCTGTCCCAGAGATGGGAGGGCAAACTGACCCAACTCCAAAAGTGGGGCCAAAGGGGATCAGTGAGGTAGCAGAGTGCCACATCAAAGACTCTCTGTCTCACAGTCTGGTGTCTGCTGGGCATCCCCAGCCAGGGTCTGAGATCTCACAGCAGATTCATGCAAGAGTTCAGGCAGTTTAGGAAAGGAAGAGTACATGCAAGATGGGATGGTTTCCTAGAGAGAGGCTCCATTTTGGATAAAAATCAAGCCTGCTTTAAGAGGGTGTAGTACACCACTACTTTGAGCAACGCATAGATGCTGTTAATTTCCATTTTTTACCTGGAACAGCCAATAGATGATGATGGTTTTGTTCTTTCAGAGCAATTTTATTTTTTGAGATGGTTTCCACTTTTCCAGATGACAAGTTGCCATTGCAGTCCCTTGTTTTTTGCACTTGCCGGTGGTATCTCAGGATGTTTTTGGTGCCCAGTTATGCCTCAGAGATGCATCTGTGCTTCTCAGGGATGTTTCTGGCTCCCATCTCCCAGGCTGGCAGGCGTTTTCTGTCATTCAGTGACTTTCCCTTCTCACCACCCGCCTTTCTGACTGCTCACATGGCAAGGTGTGAGAAGGCACCTCCAGGAGCCAGCACTCCCTGTGCTGCACTCCACACCAGCCTTTCTGCCCCCAAAAATGGTTGCTGCTGATGTGCACTCTGCCCTCGGCCTGGGCTGGGATGCCCAGGGTCTTCTCCGGACCTAAGCCAGGGTGCGGGGTCACAGTCCCAGCCCTGCTGCCATGGTCCACCCTGACAACACTGTGGTCCCCATGGACAGCCGCTGACTGGTCCAGAGTGGGATGTGCCCAGTGCAAGTGCTGCACCTGTGGGCTGTGTCTCCAAAAACGAGACCTTCCTCCTGGTGTGTCAGCCCATCGTTAGTTATGGTTTACAGTTTCAGTTCCTTTTCACCATTTTATTATGTGAGAGATTTAACTTAATCGGTCTGAAAGTCCCCAGGAGTAAGATAATGCACAGGCACGCAGTGAGAAAACTGCCTTGCAGAGGTGCTGAGAAAGTCCCTGTTTGTCCATGGCCACATGCTGGGTTGCTGAAGCAGATACCTGGTCTCTTGCTCATCATTGCCTCTTGCATTTGCTTGGTCAGTGTGGCTGCA